TTATCTGCATCCAAGAAGTTCATATAAAAAAAGATGAGGCTGATTATCTAAATTATTGTAAATTTGGTAAAGTATTCTCCTCATTAGCAGAGAAAAGGAAAAGGGGGGTCGCCATCTACGTTAAGAAAGGAATAATGGCAGAATGCAAATATAAAGATGGAAAAGGGAGAATACTTATAGTTGAAATAACGAGAGGCAATGCTAGGCTGTTATTGGTAGGGGTCTATGCACCGAATAAAAAACAAGGGAAATTCTACAGGAAATTGCAGGAACAGTTGGCAAATTGGGCACATCTTGAAATTTGTATGCTAGGGGACTTTAATGGAATTGTGGATCCAAAGCTTGATTATAAGAGTGATATAACAAAAAAGAATAAAAGATCTCCCCTACCAAAGACCTTCTTTGACTTAGTAGATGAGATAAATTTAATTGACATGTGGCGTACCTTACATCCCCAGGACAGACAATTTACATTTTATTCCATCCCACAGAACTCCTGGTCCCGAATCGATATGGTTTGGGCTACCAGAAAATTGGCGTTAGAAATAAAGAAAGTTAATATGGACTCTAATACTTGGGCAGATCATAAGCTCCTAGAAATTAGTTGGTCCCACGATATGAAGAAAATACAACAGAGATGGAGTTTAAGGACCAATCTCTTAAACGAAAAAGAGTTTACACTAAAATTGAATGAAGAAATCAAACGCTTCTTCTTAGAAAATGGGAATCGAGAGACAGCCAAAGAAATTGTGTGGGACACTATGAAGGCGTATGTCAGGGGAATAGCTATTTCATATACTGCCTTTAAAAATAAGGAAAAAAGAAAGAGTAGAGAAGAACTTACTCAAAAATTAATACAAACTGAGGCCGAATTACAGCAACGACCGGGAGACGAGGAGACGAAACAACAGTGGTTGATGTTGAGACACCGATTGAATTTATTGGACCAGGAGGAGATGGCTCAAAAAATAAGAAGATCTAAGCATTATTGTTTCGAGAATGCTAACAAGTCGGGGAGATGGTTGGCGTATAAATTAAAAAAAGAGAAGGAAAAAAACCAAATATTAGCTTTAGAAGACCCGCAGGGCATCTTGTTGACAAAGGAAGAAGATAAATTAGAAAGTATAAGAAAATTTTATGAGTGTCTTTACAAAAACGAAGGAATTGAGTTAAATAAGGTAGAACAGTATTTGTTGGAAGCCAACCTCCCTCAAATTTCGGAAGAAGAAAAGGAAATGTTAAATGAAAAGATCACCATAGAGGAGTTAAGATCTGCCTTATCTAAAATAAAGAAGAATAAAACCCCAGGCCCTGATGGTCTCCCTGGGGAACTATATCAAAAATTTGATGATGCCCTGAAATTGGAACTGCTAGAAATTTTAAATGATGTTATTGCTGGTATAACAATCCCAGACTCCTGGAGGGAAGCCTACCTGACGATCATTCTGAAAGAAGGTGCCGACCCGAAACAGATTTCCAACTATAGACCCATCTCACTGCTTAACGCAGATTATAAATTATTTATGACTATAATTGCGGAGAGATTTAAGAAAATTCTAAACCGATGGATACACAAGGATCAAAATGGTTTTCTCCCTGGGAGACAGATTAGAGACAACTTGAGAACAGTCTTAAATACTATTGAATACTATGAACAACACCCTGAAAAGCAGATGGCTTTAATGTTTGTTGATGCCCAAAAGGCATTCGACAATTTAAATTGGACCTTCATGATAAATCAAATAGATCTAATGGGATTCGGGACTAACTTTAGGAGGATGATAGAGAATATCTATCATAATCAAAGGGCAAACATACTAGTGAATGGAGACAGAACTCGGACATTTCAGATCCAAAGAGGAGTCAGGCAGGGATGTCCCCTATCCCCCTTACTTTACATTCTAGCACTAGAGGTCCTACTTAGAAAGATTAGAGCAAATGAAGATATCAAAGGCTTAAAGATTAGGAAGGAAACATTTAAAACCCAGGCTTTTGCGGATGACGTCGCCTTTATAATTGAAGACCCATTAGACACCGGCTCAAAATTAATGCAGGAAGTTCAGAACTATGGAGAAGTCGCGGGCCTTAAACTTAATAAGAACAAAACTAAAATAATCGTGAAAAATATGACAAAACTACAAACGAAAGAATTAGAAGATCTACTAGGCCTCCAGGTAGTTAAGAAAACAAAATATCTGGGAATATGGATTACCGCAAGACTATCTTCATTAAAAGATGATAACTATATTCCCTTATTGCAGAAAATCAATCAAGACCTCGATAGGTGGAGGAGACTTAAATTGTCCCTGACTGGGAAAATTGCGGCGATCAAAATGAATATTCTACCGAAATTTCTATTTTTATTTCAAAACATACCGGTATCTCTGGATAAAAAATTCTTCCTGGATTTGAATAAATATATTAGGAATTTCTTGTGGGAGGGTAAGAAATCAAGGATATCTCTTAAGACACTTCAAGGGAAAAGAAATTTGGGAGGGTTTGGGCTCCCTGATTGGGAATTATACCAAAAGGCGGCAAAAATAATTTGGATAAAGGAGTGGATTAAATTAAAAGAAGGGAGAACTCTGACACTAGAAGGACATGACCTCCATGAAGGATGGCATGCTTACCTCTGGGATATAAAGGATAGGAGGAAAACGTATTTTCATAAACATAAAATAAGAGAGACATTGATTTGTACGTGGCGGGAAATTAGACAGAAGATATATACCAAGGTTCCTAGCTGGTTGTCGATTATGGAAGCTCTAGTGGTCCCAAATAGGAGAGGAAACTATAAAATGGGCACATATAAGGATATCTTGGACGAAGAAGGGAAGCTCAAACCTTTGGAAGCATTGAGGGACCAGGGGTTCAATCTGGACTGGTGGAACTATCTCCAAATTAAGTCTAGATTTCAAGAAGATAGAGATAGAAGGGGTATTGAAATGAAATATGGATATTTTGATAAAATCATTTGGGGTCCAGATAAGAAAATGTTATCCAAAATTTATAACTTTATATTAGATGAGGATAGAGCGGAGATGATAGCTAAAAAACAGTTAAGCATTTGGGAGAAAAACTTAGGATATGGCCTTAATTTCAATGACTGGGAGACAGCTTGGAATAGGAACCTCAAAATAACAAAATCGTCAACATTCAGGGAAAACCACTACAAAATGTTGCATAGGTGGTACCTAGCCCCGGACAGGCTGGCTAAAATATTCCCAAACTCTTCTGCTTTATGCTGGAAATGTGGAAAAACGGTCGGCACCTTTTATCATCTTTGGTGGACTTGTCCTGAGACCAAAAAGTTTTGGTTAAAGATCCGACTCTGGCTCTCTGAAATAATGGGACAGGAGATAGTCCTGGCCCCGGAATTCTTTCTCTTAGGTATGACGGAAGATGGTCTCAACAATAATAAAACCCATTTGGCAATTCAAATTATTACTGCGGCTAGAATAGCCTTTGCGAAACTTTGGAAATCTAAATCTACCCCCTCTGAGGAAACATTAATAAATAAAATCCTAGAGTGCGCAGAGATGGCTAAACTGACAAACGAGCTAAAAAATGAAGAAAATTCTAAGCACTATGAAGTATGGGGAATTTGGTATAATTGGTTAAAGAATAGGATAAAAGTACGATAATAGGCTATAGTTGCTTAAACACCAGAAATGGACTCAATGGTATAGAAATGTAGACGATTATATAGTATTGTATAATATAATGTATAGTGATAGTTATGGATGGAATCCATCCAATATTTGACTTATGAAATGTGTAAACACCGTACCCCGGATCAAGATTGAGATTGTATTTTGTCTTTTTAAATATTGGAAAACTCAATAAAGTATATTTAAAAAAAAAAAAAAAAAGATAGATAGATAGATAGATAGATAGATAGATAGATAGATAGGGATTAGATACCGTGTTTCCCCGAAGATAAGATCCTGTCTTATATTTTTTGAACCCTGAAATAAGCGCTTGGCCTTATTGCCATGTGCTCAAAAGCCCAATTGGGTTTATTATCAGGGGATGTCTTATTTTGGGAGAAACAGGGTAGGTGGATAGATGGATACAGGAGGGGGAGAGGGACCAGTTTGCCCAAACTGATTCTGCATGGTTTGGAGAACTGGCAAATCGGACCACCGCCTACCCCCACCTCCACCCATTTTTCAGGCCATTTTCAGGCTGTTTTTCTGGCCAAAATCAGCCCAAAAATCAGCCTGAAAACGCCCTGAGAAAAGGCCTGAAAACAGCCTGAAAAATCTTGCTGTGAGAGAAAGAGAAGTGTCCTGGGTCCCCTCGTCCCAGAAGCAGAAACCTCACATTCTTCCTTCTCTGTTAGCCCCCTTCTTCACATGGGATCACCCAGAAACAGAGACAGAGAGGGAGAAAGGGGTGGCATTTCTGTGTGCTCCTGTTTCTGTGTGGCACTTTCCTTCAATGCTAGCAGCCACCGCTGCCATCTTCTCCCTCTTTGTCTCTGCTTCTGGGAGATCCCATGTGAAGAAGCGGGCTAGCAGAGAAGGGAGAGTGTGAGGTTGCTGCTTCTGGAATGAGGGGACCTGGGAAGTGTCTGTGTCCAGCTTACCCAGCTTCTCTTCCTCTCACAGCAAGTTTTCTCAGTCTAGCTTGATGCAGCATCCCTCTCTCTCTCTCTCTCTCTCTCTCTCTCTCTCTCTCTCTCTCTCTCTCTCTCTCTCTCTCTCTCTCTCTCTCTCACACACACACACACACACACACACACACACACACACACAGAAAAAAGAACACACACACAAACAAACTCCTTCCCCCACCCCCCACTAGAGACTCCTGGATTCCCTCCCCAACCCTGCCTGTCCCATAGAGGTACCACGCACACAAGTGACATAGAGTTGGCCACAGCCACTCAGTCACATGACATCCCCCCCTCCGGCACACACACATCCCCGGTCGTTAAAAAATTTGGATCTCACCACTGATCACACATAATATAGAAATATATCTGATAGCCTCACCTTGTGGTTTAATGTTCCCCCAGCCTGCAACCCAACAACCCAATCTGGGAGGGAAGACAATGGAGGATCCTGGTAAACAGGCAGGCTGGATACGCTGGGTGAAATTCACAGGGCTTTCGAGTTCTATTAATGCAATATCATTGCCGTTTATGAGCGAAGTGTAGTTGGAGTGCATGATAATTTGCTTCACATTTACTAGTACCGACTCTGGTCCAGGATTGGAGAGATTGTAGGATCCCAAAAGAATGGCAAATAGAGAGGGATCTGAGAGACTGTAGACAGAGAAATTGGCCAATAAAACATAAACAGGAATATGGGAATGAAAACAGATATATTGTATAAAAATTCAGCTACGAAGAGGAGGAGGTTGAAATTAGGCAGTTAAGAGAAAGTTGAAGAGGTATTTTAACTGTGGTTGGGAAACAGGAAAATAAATCTTGTGAGGAGATTGGGCTTTATCCCCCTCCCCCCCCAAAAAAAGACCCCTCAAAAAACATGATAGAATCTACTGGACAAAGTGTAACTGAAAACTCACTTCCTTAGGAATGGGAGAACATGAGTCATGAGTGGCCAACAGTAGCTAATAGATTGAATGTATGGTTTCTCCATGGAAGAATGGTAGAAACTTATCACCAGGATGACAGATGTCTTGGTAAAGGGAATGAAGTTTTATAAATTAGTTTCAGAAGTCTGAGAATCAATCTTGTGAGGCTTTGTATGAAGGGAGTGAAGTTTGGAAACTGATCTCACCTGACAAAGCAATGTGCTGCTGTTAGAACCCAGCGTGAGGCAATGAGGGTTCCCCCACAGTGATGTGAATCTAAAATCTGTATGCTGGCCTGCCATGGCCATGAACCCACCTCAGCATCTGAACCTCCTACTATTCGGGAAGAGGGGATAAATCGACCACAAGCTGTGGGGAGAACAAGATAGGCAGATTAGTGTCTGGGTTTGAGTTCCCTGCAGCTGAAATCCATGGAAATTTTTACTCACCTGGAGGTGGCTGGGCCTCTGTAATGCCTGTGAAGACAAGAAGAGGAATATCAAGAGACTGAATGGACCAAACAGAGTAGCTAAAGATAAAACAAAAGAGGGCATATATTTATATATTTATAAATATATTTATATAAATATATAAATATATTTATAATTATATTTATAAATAATCTAAAAATTATATACTACACTAAAATCACTTTTAGATCTACAATATCTATCATGACATGAAAGATACATTTTTGAATTAATTATTCATTAATTAATGAATAATTAATTAACATATGTGACTTGGAACTTTTAAAATGTGCTGTGTCATTCAAAAATGATAATTTTCAGTACATCATGATCATTGCTTCACTTATCTCTGGTAAAAATACAGATCTGAAGGAACTTTTGACCCAACACCATCCAAAGAGTTTCAGAACTTGGGAGGATTTGTATGAGATAAAAGGAGTGAGACATCCTCAGCACTTTTGTTAACATTGCCTCTATACCTTACTGTCCTCTCTCTTTTTAAAATCAAATTGAAAGATTACTTTAATTCCAAAATAAAATAAAGTGGATGTGATACTTATAAAATTCTGTTTTCACTTTGTCATTATGGGATACTATAATCTATCAGTGTAGATTAATGAGGAAAAAAATGAGTTTTAACAAATGTAGAATCAGGCTGCAGCATAACAAAATTGACAAAAGTGAAGAGGGTCTGAATACTGTCTTAGCACACACACACACACACACACACACACATATACACGTGTGTGTGTGTGTGTGTGTGTGTGTGTGTGTGTGTTTGCATGTGTAAGACAGAAATAGCATGAAGGAAGAAAAAGTTTCAAAAGTAACGCAGGCCTGGCCCACAGAATGTAAAAGGTAGGGGTGTGTGTGTGTGTGTGTGTGTTTGTGTGTGTGTGTGTGTGAGAGAGAGAGAGAGAGAGAGAGAGTGAGAGAGAGAGAAAGAGAGAGAGAGAGAGAGAGAGAGAGAGAGGAGGGAGAGAGAGAGCAAAGAAAAACATTTGAATCTAGATTTCTCAGTCCAAAGTCAACATTTTATTTATTTCTTTGTAAGAGACAGAGTTAAAAGAGCATGAGAATTAGATTACTGAGTTTAACATTAAATGGCAACAGATAGCACATCTCTACTAATTTTCCTCAAAAGAATACAGGTAAACCAGTTATTTTCCCAGGTGGTGAATCAGTTCCTTTCTGTCCTTCAAACTATAAAAGAAAGCTTCTGTGGCAAGATAGAAAATAATGTTGTCCCATTTTTAGTATAGCCCAAATGATCATTCCTTATACATACTTGGTCCATATCTGAATGTTACAAGATCCAATGCCATATCCTCTCTCTAAGTGAAGAAACTTTGCAGTGGAATGATAAATTAGCTTTACCAACAGATGACAGCCCATATATGGTAAGGTTTAGAGTGCCCAATTTACACTGTGTAAGAACACCACAAATTGAAGTATCAAGAATAATTCTAGACAACAACAAAGAAGCAGAGTCTTTATATCTTTTTGCTACTATCTAGTGATCTTCCACATTTTTGCAGCCAAAATATGGTACACGTTGTTATGAAAATCAGTGTCTGATCTTGGATCCACTATAATTACAGTACGGTAGTCAAATCAATCAACAGATAAACAGAAGATTTGAATTTCCCTCTTTTGTTACATATTTCCGAATTTACAATTAAGCATTTCCACCTTTAAACGTTTCTACATGAATGTACAGTTTCTACTCTCTTACTTATATACTATATTATCATACATACCATACTGATTCTGACATTACAAATGTAATAAATAATTGCATTCAATGGAAAAGGCATTTTTGAAATGGCAGGAAGCAAATGAAAACAATCTTTCCAATTATACCTTCTAATATTAGAGACAGCCGATATATAATTTTTGACTGTACTTCCTATAGTTCTGAACCATGTGGATTGGAGTCCAGAAGTGCATTGGGTTGCCTTCTCCTGATGTAAATCATTTTTAATATTTATCTAATATTTATTTAGATTAATCTGGAAAACACTTAGTCCTAAAGGTAAATTTAACTCAGCTGTATGTCTCAGCCTGTGGTGAGTTAAACGATACCATGACCTTCCTCTTGCAGTGCCTGGAGAGCTGCTAGGAGCTGGATGGGGAGCAACAAGTTGAAACTGAACCCTGGCAAGACTGAGTGGCTCTGGGTTTGGAGTTCTTTGACCCATAAAGAATAGCCACCTTTGGTCTTGGATGAAGTGGTACTGCCTCAAACAGATCCTGTGCATAATCTGGGAGTTTTCCTGGACTCAAAGAGCAGGTGGCCATTATGGCCAGGAAGGCCTTTGCATAACTGTGGATTGTGTGCCAGTTATGCCCTTTCCTGGACCAACAAATCCTACTCATGGTCACTCAGGCCCTAATCACCTCCTGTCTTGACTATTGCAATGCGTTCTATATGGAGTTGCCCATGAAAAGCATCTGGAAACCTCAGTTGGTGCAACTGGAACATGGTTTTGTGTAGACCTTGATGTGCACATATATCACCTCTCCTGTAGGAGCTGCATTGGTTGCCAATTCATTTCCAGGGGCAATTCAAGGTGCTGGTTGTCATCTTTAAAGCCTCTCATGGCTTGGGACCAGGTTATCTGATGGACCATCTCTTTGCCAATCAAATCTACCTGACTCACTAGAGTGGGGAGCAAAGGTGGGTTTCTACCGGTTCGATCCAGTTCGGGTAAACTGGTAGCGGCGGTGGCTGGATGCTCCACCTGCCCTCCCAGACATCATCAAAAATACTCTGTGCATGCGCAGAAGTTTCTGTGCATGTGCAGAAGCATTGCATGTTCACAAAGATAGCGAACCGGTAGCGCCGGGATTTGAAACCCACTACTGGTAGGGAGGCAAGGAATGTTGTGGGTCCTGTCCCCAAGAAGATACATACTTCTCTATGGTGGCTCCCTCCCTCTGGAACATCATTCCTCCAGAAATTAGACTGGCCTTCACTCTTTTGGAAAGTCCTGATAATGTGGTTCTGCCAGCGGGCCTGGGGAACCCAGAGCAGGTTGTAGCCCATTAAAGACTGGTATGAATGTGTGTTGCCACCTGGGTGTAGGGGGGTTATTATTTTATTATGTTAATTATTTATTTTTTTATTTCTTTTATATTGTGCTTTTATGTCCTGTAAGCCGCATTAAGTTGCCATGTGAAAATAAGTGGCAATATACATTTTCTAAATAAATAAATAATAAATACATTTTTAAAAAAAGAGAAATAAGGCTTCTGTAGTGTAAAACTCAGGAAATATTACATTAACAAAAGTATGATTCAAGAATAATCACAGCTGAATAAATCCTACCAATCCAAACATTGGGAAAACTATATTAAATCCAAACATATTTCTAAAGTTTCCAATAAAACAAAACAAACCTTTTCTCAGAATCCAAATAATAAATTCAAATTATTTTTAGTAAACAAAAGAAACATTAATTAAAAATCTGCTGTTTAACAACCTGTATAAAGCCAGTCTCAGCTAGATATACAAGAGTTGGAAGAATGCCCTGGAATCGATGACTCAAAGTAACTATTATATCCTTGTTATCCACATTTATCAAAGAAATGCATGTAGATTCTTTCCTGCCTTCAGAAATTTCTCTTCTTAAAAATAAAAGAAAAGATTTTTTTTTAAAAAATTGTTTCAATTAAAATAGGAGAGAAATACATAATATATTTTCATACCATTCTACTATCAGATCCAGAGTCTTAGCCAATTGCATTAATTTAAAGTAGAGATTATTTCTAAAATCAAAACAAGTAAAATAAAATTAGTAACCTGCCCTGGATTAAATTCTAAAGTTTACCTTTTGAAAAAAAAAAAGGGGGGGGGTTCTCTCATCATCTTTTGATGTTTGTGTTTAATTTTTCAAAATAAAAAAAATTGGGTGCCTAGTAAATGAGAGAGGAAGAATGAACTTCTTTGCATTTTATACACCCACCTGTTTTGAAAAAAAAAAAAGTGCCTTAAAGAAAAAATATTCTCTTACCCATCAGAAGAGAGAGGAGGGCCAGATTTTTAATCCCAAGAAATCTCACCATCTTTGTTTATGAATCTATCTTGATTTAAGTCAAGTAATAAAAGAAGGAAAAAGTTAACAGGTAGATGAAGCCTAAAAGAATATAAATAACTGTCACTGTACTCTGACCTCCTTTTATAAACTTTATGCTCCGTATATAACTCCTCCTAGCATCTTAAAGGAAGTTTGTTGTTTTTGTTTAAGTAATGTATTTGATATTGACTTCTCCAAGTGGACTGAGAGCTAACACTTTACTCCTTCCCAAGGTAGGGTGGAGCCTTTTTAATTGTATTAGTCAAAGAAAGGGGTAAGATTATAAGAACCCAGATAGATCAAAGACCAATCAGGTATTTACCAAGAGCTTAGAAGGAGTACACAAGGACAACTGTGTTATGTGACTGTTCATTCCAGAGTGGCTATCTTTTCAAAGAATATTGTACTTGGACATAGTGCGTGCATTTAAGTTTTCTTTACAAATTTCTAGGACTGTCCATGTCCTACAGCACCCACTGATTAGCAGTGGTTCTCAACCTTCCTAATACCACGACCCTTTAATACAGTTCCTCATGTTGTGGTGACCCCAAACCATAAAATTATTCCTAAAACCATTGAAAATATGTGTTTTCCGATGGTCTTAGGTGACCCCTGGGAAAGGGTCGTTCGACCCCCAAAGGGGTCCCGACCCACAGGTTGAGAACCACTGGATTAGAGCTTCTGGATATAGTCTAATGATTGTGGAGGGCACCACATCTGTGAAATATCACATGACTGTTCTTGGAAAAGCAAACTTACAATAACATCATATTTGAGATGGTGTCACCAGCAATGGACCCACTGTAGGCCCGGCGACTTGGTTCTGCCTCAGTAAAGTTCTTTGTGCCAAAGAAACTGTGAAGTTCTTTTTATCTGTCTAAGAAGATAACATGGAGCATACACTGAAATCAGTGATGGGTTTCAATTTTTTTTACTACCGGTTCTGTGGGGGTGGCTTGGTGGGCGTGGCATGCTTGGTAGATGTGGCTTGGTGGGCATGGCAGGGGAAGGATACTGTAAAATCTCCATTCCCACCCCACTCCAAGGGAAGGTTACTGCAGCCCTAGGAAGAAGGCAAAGACATCCTGTTTCCAAAGTCTTGTCGAGAAAACTCCAGAGATTAGTTCACGCAGCTCCAGGAATTAACATTGACTCAAAGGCATACCTTTCCCCCCATCCCTCAAAGCCAATCTACCTTTATAGTGATTAGATAAATTAGATAAACAAACAAACACTATTTCCCATCCTCTAGAACTGATGTAAGCAAATTCAGAGAAAATAAAGAAATCTCTTTTAAAAAGCTATATTTTTTATTATTTATTGTCACATTTTCTACTACATTCTCCTACTGGTATCTTATGATTACATTACTTTGTTGTATACTGAAAGTTTATGCACCAGAGAGAAATAGAATAAAGTTGCCCAGGTATGAATATTCTCTTCTAAAATACATCTGATGTAGTGTTGCCAGGTGTCCACTATTTGAGCGGACAGTCCACTTTTTTCACATTATGTTCACTATTTTTTTTCACAAAATAGTGGACATTTTTTTTATTCAAAACTTTATGATAAAATTAAAATGTAATTTAATATTTTACATATTATTATAATATATTTGATGTTTTGAATTTTAAGTAAAGTTTTGAAGTGATTATTTAATACGTGTTAAAATGTTTGTAAGAAAATATATAATTTAATTGTAATTTTTTTTTATTTTTTTACTACTTAACCACCACCACCACACCCCGCTTGTCCGCTATTTTTTGGAAGCAGACCTGGCAATCCTAATCTGATGCACTTTTATTCATTTATTTCTCTCTCTCTCTCTCTCCCTCCCTGTCTCTTTCTCTCTTCCCTCTTTCTCTTTCTTCCTCTCTGTCTCTCTTATCTCTCTTATCTCTCTCTGTGTGTGTCTCCCTCCCTCTCCCTCTCATCAAGCAAAAATACATTAAGAATTAAATGTTTTGCAGTTCCTGAACACCAAAATAAAAAATAAAAAAATCACATATAAAGATAGGGAAGGGGGGGGGAGTACAACCCATAGGAAAATCTATAAAAAGGAGTGTAGTGACCACCAGGTGGCAATGTTAACACAATGTTTTCATTTTCTCACACATGCATAAACTTATAGCTAGTATGTAAATTTTCTCTTCATCTACTTGTGTTGAATAACAAATTAAAGGTACAGTAAACTTTCCAATAAGTTTAGTTTATAAAATAATAATAATTTTTAAACATAAGGCAGACTACTTCTATTCAAGATACCAACTCTGACTTCCAATAATTTATGGTAAGGCAATTTTCCCAATTTTGTATTTGTCTTACATCAAACTGAGTTTTTTGTATGTTATGTATGTATTATTATACACAAATAATCCTCAATTTGCGACAATAATGGAGTCTGGCACTTATGGTCGTAAATCAAAATGGTTGTAAAATGATCACCATGTGACAGGAGCTGGTTGTTAAGTGAATGTGATGGTCGTAAAGTGAACCCATTGTTCATTGTAGGGTGTTTTTTCTCCAGAAACAGGAAGTAAATGTTGGTTTTCCAGCAAAAATGTTATAAACCACCATCATGTGAATAATGGGAACATATTTAAACTCTGCAGTTCACTTGGCTCATTTCATTTATTGTGCTAAATCATGGCTTGCTTCATAAGAGGTTACATAAATCTAGGTTTTATACTTTGTGAAATCATAAGGGTGATTGAGTCAGGGATATCATTTGAATCATGTCATGGATTTAATTTGGACTGTTGAATTGCTCTGAATCAACTGTTCCAATTTGATTTGGAAAGTCAGATCTTTTCAATGTTCAGAATTGATTTGGGGAGGAAAAATGTTTAGCATTTAATTTCACAAGCAGCTGGAATTTTTCATTCTATTTTAAAGTTGGCTTGATTTTGTGCCTTTTTTGAACTGCCTTTTAATTAAATTTCTGTTTGAAATCCACACAGTTCTTCAATACAAGATTTAAGACCTTTGTTATATGTGGATTTAATTATTGGGACTTATTTGAGAAACTTTGGCCTAAAAGAAACCACGGTTTAGCATGTTTAAACTCCTTGTCATCATTGATCTTGTTAAAAAAAATTACAGAAGCCAAGTTAATAGGGAAATAGCTGAGTTACATGTTTATTAAATATAATACAGTTTCTTGTGGATTAAAAAGAACATGACTTCTTATCTAACAGTACAGGATTTCACACATATTAACCATCATTTCATTTATGTGATCTTACCTTAGTGGATGTGGGAAACACTATTGTTGTTTATGCACAATCATTTGCTGCTTAATGATGAATGCTTCTCTTAGTTCACAGAATATCATTTGACAGTGATGAAAAATGACACCACAGTTTCCTGCCATTTTGAAGTGAGAAATCTATAGACATTATGATATGTTTTTCTTAATATATAATTCCTATATATCTTTTTGAACGTCTTTTGGGTTCTCTTATGGTCCAGCTTTTGCTTTTCAAAATAATATGCACATTGTAGACTAAATTGCATATTCAGACTTATATTCCATATTACATCATATTAACTTTTTCAAGAAATTTTAGTCCCAACAATACATTTAAGATGGGTACCCAGTTAATATTTTTTGAAAGTTCCCACATTATGTTCAGCTTTAAATTAATAAAACAGGCAAAATTTTGCCTAACATAAATAAGACGTGTACTAACACCCACTTAACTGTAATTCAATATTTAACAAAACTTAGCATGTTGAAGAAGAGCAATTGCAACTGCATGTGAAGAAAATCATATTTGGGCTATAATGGAGCACAGCTATAGAGGTTTTTGCATTTTTAAAAAATGTTGGCTGATATCAAGCTGGCTTTTAACAGAGCAGATAAGATAGCCCTATTTTAAAAGTCTTGTGTCTTACTTTTTTTTTGTCTTTTAATATGCATATTAAGTCTAGTCAAAGCTTCATAATGGGAGATTGGAATGATAGATATAAGAACATGGAAATTCATATACAGTATAACTTAGTAGTTCCAGGTCCTAAGTATTGTAAAATAAACTTTACAGAAAAACTGGAAAAGTGCTAGGCAGTCCTATGTAGGGTGTAAAAATCTGGACAACCCTTAGATGGAAGTAGAGAGTTATTTTTTATACCTTCTTGGTATCCAGTGGTAACTATATTTTTGGAACTAAAATATGCTGGGCCTGCTATAAGGACTTTCGCTGATCTGCAGGGGTCTCCAACCTTGGCAACTTTGCAGCTTGTGGACTTCAATTCCCAGAATTCCTCTTCAACTTCCAGGAAAGCTATACTGGCTGAGGAATTCTGGGAATAAAGAGGAATTCTGGGAGTTGAAGTCTACAAGTCATAAAGTTGCCACGGTTGGAGACCCCTGCCATAGGGTCTCACAGAGAATTCCATAGCTTGTCCAATTCTGATCTTTTAGGCACAATATAAACACATCACAATATTTAAATATCTTTTCGAAGACCTTAATGGCTGCTCTAAGTAATTCAATTAATTACTCTGGCATCTCCTTCAGCGTTGTCCAGATTATCAAAATTTCTGCATGCTGCACTCCCCACCCCACCCCCCACCCCAAGGAGATGCAATCCCCTCTCTTCGCTTGTTTGATTTTTTATAAAGGGGCTTGCAGTGTGTTTTCAGCCTCCCTATTTTCTTCCACTTCTGTCTGTCAACTTGCAACTCCAAGTTCAAACATTATTAGGTGGACTATTCAATTTACTAATTATACCCACTTTGCAGGAATTTGAGATTAAGAAACTGGTAAAAAAAAGAAAGAAAAGAAAACTTTTCTTTTGAACTCAGTTCAATTCCATGTGTGTGTATTCCAGCATCCCTGTTTGCAGAGAAGGGACGAAAATTTATCTATCTATCTATCTATCTATCTATCTATCTATCTATCTATCTATCTATTTAATTCAATTTGTATACCGCCCTTCTCCTAGTGGACTCAGGGTGGTGCACAGCCAGGAAAAAACTATGCCAACTTCAGGGTGGGAACAGAATTCCTCCTCAGAAATGCGTCCACCTTTTTAGTACGGTCGGATTCTTCTTCTTCTCCCATAAACGGCTCTTTACTCTTCTCACACGCGTCGTCTTTCCATCAATCTTGAGACTTTGATGGACCAATCCGCGCCACCTTCTTCATCTCCCTCCAGCAAAGGGAAGTAGTGATGCCTTCTGCCTCCAACATGCTTCTTTTTACTTTCGCTTTTGACTCCTTTGTCCCAAGCTTTACAGAGCCTGGCCCGGTACAGGTAAGATTGCAAAGGGTGGGGTCGACTTCTTTTAAGGACTTTTTTTTCCCCTGTCCCTTCTGTCTGCCTGATCCGGCTTAAGGTGTGCTTTAAGCTCAGCTGGCCGAGAAAAAAGGGTAGCGCGTCGAGATTTTTGCTTCATGAAATATCATTTGGCGATATGTGTGGCATTCGCGATCAGTTCGCCTTTCCGAGCTTCACTTCGACAAGGAGAGAACTCGGAGAAGTTGGGAGGGGAAAGAAAACGACGTCTCGCTTTTCTGCTCGCTAGAGAGTATTTTGATTCTGCCAATGAAGGATCAGAGAAAAAGTGGCAGCGGGCGAGAAGTGGGCGGTGGGATACCTATCAGGCGTCGTTTTCAAATAGTTTCCTCTGCTGTTTCACCAAACAACAATAACAGTGAAAAGGAAAGATTTCAGAGAAGAATCCCATTGTCTTACTGGAACTACAGGATCTGATGGTTTTTGCTTAATAAAAGGTGAAAGGGGTGGGAACCAAGATTATTTATAAAAGGTGAAAGGGGTGGGAACCAAGATTATTTTATTTTTTTATTTTTCCTACAAATTGCCCTCCAGAACAAAGATAAAGAAGGATGATTAAAATAGAACATGGACTTAAGGAGCGGCAGATAAGGTGCTTTACAGCTTCAAATAAACATAGAGATTGGAGCAAAGCTTGTTTTCAAATCCTGCACGTGTCAGAATTAGTAATAAGGGCTAGGCAGGCTGGATTAGACCTACAGAAAATCTGTTGGACAAATTGGTATTCCAGTTTACTGGTTATTGTAGCATAGCCAACTTCTTCCCAAAGGAACAGAAATGCCATAAGATGAGCACCATATAAATTTGATTAAATAAATAAATAGCAAGTAGTCTACCCAATAATTTCTTCAGCAGTGTCGTTGTTGTTGCTGTTAGTCACAAAGTTGTGTCCAACCCATCGCGACCCCCTGGACAACGTTCCTCCAGGCCTTCCTGTCCTGTACCATCCCCGGAGTCCATTTACGCTCACGCCAACTGCTTCAGTGGCTCTATCCAGCCACCTCATTCTCTGCTGTCTTCTTCTTTTGTCCTCAATCGTTCCCAGGCTCTTCTCCAGTAAATCCTTCCTTCTCATTAGGTGGCCAAAGTGTCATTAGTTATTAATAAATTCATCATTTTGTCAACTCCAAAGCAGTCTTTCTCAGGAGAGTGTTCTCCAAATTGTTGGGCTTCAAAATCCTAAAATTTTCAATCAGTAAAATGGCTGCGAATTCTGACACATGAAGTCCAATAGTGGTACCAGGTTTAAGAAAGCTACTTTGAAGTGAGATTGCAAGTTGTATGGTTGTCTTCCTTGGTGTAAGACCTTAGATTAATTTGATTAATTCTTCATTCTGGAGAATTCTTCTTGAAATTGCCCATCTCTTAACTCGCATGGATCAAGTTCAAGTCTTGGCATTTCTTAAAATCAGGTCTTAATTTTTACAATCTCATAGTTTTCTACACCTCTTTTCGGATTTTTTTTCAACTTCCCTGTCTAGCCTATGGCTCCTTTATTTCCTGGTGGTGTCTCATCCAAGTACTTAACAGGCAAAACTTTTGTTTAAATGTTTGAAGATCAGCCAAGGTCATTTAGATGCTTTCACCTAGCTTGATCTACCCTAAAAGTGTAGGTTTGTTAGCCTAGAATTGTTACTAATTATAAGTAAGTACCACTACTGGATTAGCAATCAAAAATTGCCTGCAGGAACAAGAAGATAATGTAAGAAAGTCTCACTGGAGGGAACCAAGTCTTCCTAATAGCAATTGTATTATTCATATTCTGCTTTATCACAAAAGGACAAAAAAGTCTTCTATTCTTTGTTCTAATCTTTGCTATCTGGAGGTACCTATCCACTAAAAACAGCCAGATATAGTACTCAACCATGAATTCCCCCCCCCACACACACACACTTTTTTTTAAGCATCAACTAAAAATAGGGATAGGGATATATCATGTATCATCACAACACAACAAACATAACATAACGTAACTTATAATTAATATACCATTGTTAACTAACTGCTTTTGCCTCAACACTTAATAGTGTGCAGGTTTTTATGAGTTCATTGAACTAAAGTAATATGGTTTGATGTCACATGCTTCAATGGGGACTTCAGAACGAAAATGTTAAGAGGAACATGTGAAAGTCGTATTATTTCCTGGCAGGCTTTTCCTGCTTGGCTGGCTTTTCTTATGTCCCCACCCTTGCTAATCACACTTAAATACAATGCATTTTTAAAAAAAAGAAAAGGTGGTATGATTGAATAAGTTGTAGAAATGAGAGTAAAAGTAAAATTCTGTATGATAATAATAATTAACAAATATGCACCGTTAATACGATAATGGATGTGTGACCAAAGATACTTTTTCTTTTTATGTATTGTCGACTGTATTAATATATATGTACCTTGTATATACATGGTATAATATTTTACTTTTTATATGTTTAATAAAGTTTTATTTTTAAAATTAAAAAAAAAGAAAAAGAAAAAGAAAAGAAAAGAAAAGTACCTAATGTTAAGACATTCAGGAACAGAATCAGAAACTATGGGTATGGTTGAGTTCAGCCAGCCCTGAAATAGTGGGTCAATGATGTTACAGAAATAGAAGATGAAACTTATTACAAAACTCTTTGTCTCTAGCAGTAGGAAACAAGGGCAGATGTTCAGAAGAGTGGAAGAATCCATTTTCTTCTCTCTCTAATTTGCATGGTACTGAAAGCTACAGTGTTCTAAAAACAAAAGGCAATATAATTTAACATTTGCTCTTTAGCTCAACTTGTTTTCGAGTTTACTTAAGTATTAGAAAGATTGCATTTAAGAAGCTTCTGAAAAAGACTGAAATAAAAATATATAATATTTGGAGAACTTCCTTACAAAAAGACTTTGTGCTATGAAGACTTTGCATTTCTTACCTCAAATCCAACCATCAAGAACAGGCATTTCTTTCTTTGTTATGAAGTAGATAAAATGGCAGGGATGAACAATGGCAACTCACTCTAAGCTAATGGTTAAAACCATATAAACTGAGATAAGCTTCCTGCAGAAATAATATTCATAATACTAAATCTCTCTTGCAAGTTTACTGTGCAAGTTTACTGTGACCACATTAATACATTCCATCAGCCTTTCTTAGCTTGATATCACCTAGGTATTTTGTACTATAACTTCTGTTATCTACAGCCCATTTTTGTTTTAATGAACCTGTAATGACTTGCATCAGGGTGAAGTTGGATGACTGAACAGAGCTTGAGTATTTATTGACCAGTTGCCCTTCCTGATGCCTGTGCAAAGTTCACAGCAGACAGCTACTCATTGCGGCTAGATAGAGAAACATCTGCCACTACCTAGGAGCAAACTCACAGCCTCCTGATTGGGAGGAGAGAGCTTCACCTCTAGGCCACCATGCTGCTCCATCTATAGCCCATTTAACCCATTACAATACTCTAAACTTAAAATTAAGTCACTCTCTCTCATTCCAATCTACCTCGCAGAGTTATTGTTGTGGGGAAAATAGAAGGAGGAAGATGTGTTGGATATGTTAGCTGCCTTCATATATACAATAAAGGTGGAATACAAATAAATAAATAAAATAAACACATAAGATTTCTTTTAATTAAACAGGTTGACTAAAATTAAAAGAAGTGTTTTTTTGCTGCACACAGCCATGTAACTAACCCTAACCTTCTTTGCCTGATTTTGACAATTTAAGCAGAATTTGTACTCAGTTTGTACTCAGATAGGAGACCACAAGGAAACCCCAAGTCTAAATGTTAGACTGGAAAATTGAACAACTACAGCAACAAATTACTAAAGGCAATCATAAATTGTTTTTGTATTATTTCCTTTTCATAGATGTAACATAGATGTGCCATAACATCACCAGAAATCAAGTTTTCACCTTTATCAGTGAACAAATATGCACGACAACTTTAATGAGACTTTAATGAGAATATCCTGTTCCTTTCCTTCTATTAATCGAGTTTCTAGAATAAATCTTTACACATGATCAGAACAGTAAATTCTTTTCAGTGAGCTTATGTTCCAAATCTTTCCTGGATGGTGGGGAGTGGACAGAGGATACTTTCAAATATTAAAAAAAAAATCCTTAAGAGGAAAATTCCAAGGTACTGTATGCTGCCTTTACTCCTACTGTACTCCATAATAAAACCTTCTAGGATTTCCTACAAGGTCCCTTATATATTTATGCCATCTCACTGTTACAAAGCTTCAAAAAAAAAAAGTTTGAAGCTGCTGTTTTGGCATTTCCCAATTTAACTGATTCCTAATATCTTGGATTACAGTCCCCAACATACCCAGTTTTGTTTCTCTTTGTGTTTTTTTTTCCTTTTTGTTCCCATTGCTTAATATTTTGCTTATCATACAGTTGATTTAAAATCATTATTAAGAATACAAAAAAAGAAAAACAGAAACCTTTGTTTTGAACCGTTTTGAATAGGCTTGTGCTGTTCGTGTATAATGATCGGACTAGCGCCATTAATTTTTGCATTCTTTTTCACAAATGGTTCTTTTTATTTCTTCCATCCAAAATAAAGTCAAAAGACTGGTCTTTCATGATCCATTTTCTATTTTCTTCTTTCTGTACCCCATCTTTATTTCTCAAATTCTGGATAACATAGGATTAGGAAAAGTTGTTAAGGCACCAAGCCAGAATGCAGGAGTCTGTGAATTCAATTCCAGCAGGATTGTTGTTGTGAGGAAAATAGGAGACAGAAGTTATGTTGGATATGTTTATTGCCTTGATTTATTTATAAAATAATAAAAGGAGATAAACAGACAAATAAATAAACAAATAAATGATAAGGAAAAAGAGAAATGACCTTAGCAATGTGATCTTCTCTATTCTAGAAAGGAGGAGTTTGGAATCCCATAGCATCCTGGTCACTACAGAATGGGAAATAAAAATAGTGCTAAACCGTGAGTTGGTTCTTTATTTTCCAAAGAAAAATATTTGGGGAAATAATGCTGAAAGAATTAATGTAATAACTTGATCTAACTTCTGTGTTCTCATCATCTTCAGCATGACCACCTCCACTTCAATTTATTGGAATATCGGTAAAAATTGTAACTTTCTAGCAACAAAGAATCATACATGTTTAAAAAATGATTGAGTAACAAGAAATTAAGATTCTGTGAGAGGTTGCTATTTATTTATTTATTTATTTATTTATTGACAGCAATTATGCTATTTCTGTGAATTTTTTATTTTATTTATTTATTTTTATTAAAACAATTTCAGTCATTTCAGAATCCATTGCAACTTTTGTATTTTTCTGCAGATTATTTATTATTATTGCATTTTTAATTATTCTTGTGATCAATTTGGAATTCTGTGGAAAATTGATGTAGTCTAAACACTTTAAAGCCCTTTCTAGACTGAAGAAATGACAGTTTTAAGAATTCAAATCAGCTAAAAGAAAAACCAGAAACAGAAATCAGTGGTATCTAAATCCACCTATGATTTATTTATCAGTTAATCCTGATTATCAGTTCGCTTTTCAAACACTAAGCATTTTATTTGTTTACTTTTGATGAGTCACTTTCTCAAGAAGAAATAAAGGAAAGGCAATCATATCATCTAGATTTCGTTTTCCCACATAAATCATAAAACATAATGTTGCAAAGTTGACTTTCCCACCATAAAAAAAAGGTTGCCACAAAGGAATATGACAAATACAAAAATAGCCAAAATACTATGTATTATTGGTGTAATTGTTTTGGACTGAGGAATGCAGTCTTTTCACTTTCACTTTTCACTTTGTCTCTGTTTGGAGACAAACAGAGATCACAGGCCAGGATAAAGGCAGCCCATTTTTTGTTCTATGAGAATAACGCTCATTGGAAATGGATTTTAGGAGGAAATGAAGTCATTGATTTTCTTTATTTAATATCTCCTTTTTCTCTTCACTTAACATTACCTTTTCTCTGGTTTTTAATCTTTCCTCCTCCACTTCCTCCTCCTCCTCCTTCTCTTCTTCCTCCTCCTCCTTGCATATTGCGAGCTTCTGACCTGGGTAAATAACAATTAAATCTGATTAAGATTTAATTCCTATGAACTATCTATACACTTGGGCTGCAGACAATGGTATAGTTTGGCCTTCTCTCCATTTCTGTTATGATGCTTATCCTTCAAGATGGGGCTTCTGGATTTCTGAACAGCAGTTTGGTCCTACAATATCACATGAAGCAAAACTAGAGGTATAGATGGGTGTCCTGGGCTCCCATGGTTTGATTCAGTTCTTTTTCTTTGCCTCTTTCAGACCAACTTCATCAACAGTCCCTACATCAAAGTCTGTAGGAGGCATGATCCAGGACCTTCAGGAAGACATCAAATGTTCCATCTGTTTGGAAATCTTCAATAACCCTGTCTCCATAGATTGTGGGCATAATTTCTGTCAAGACTGTATGTTTACTCACTTGAATAATTCTCCACAGTCTGAGTACAATTGCCCTGAATGCCGCCATACCTGCTACCCTCAACACATGAAGCCAGATGCCCGGCTGAAAAGTTTGGTGGAAAAAATTTCACAGTTTCCTCATCTGGAAGAGGTCAACAAGGTGAGATTGCATCTAGATGGAACTAGGAAGCTTTTACTGCATTGCATGTCAGGTGCAAGAAATCACGAGCAAGGATAGAGTTCAAAAGCACTACAAGTTTACTTCATGCTACCTAGACACAAGTGTCTGATCTACTAATGGTAAAGACAAATTGGTTCCAGATAAGGGTCAATGGATTTTAAGGGGAGACTTAGGTCTTTTATGGGGATGTAGCAATTCCAGACTGATGATGCATTTGTTCCTCCCTCGGCTCAATGTGGTCATCTCCTACATTGCATGTAGGTAGTTTGACAGAGATAGATAGATAGATAGATAGATAGATAGACAGACAGACAGACAGACAGACAGACAGACAGACAGATAGATAGATAGATAGATAGATGATAGATAGATAGATAGATAGATATGATAGATATGATAGATATGATAGATAGATAGATAGATAGATAGATAGATAGATAGATAGATATCTAAGACAGAGAACAAGAAAACGGCAAAGCCTTCCTCCCATACATAAAAGGCACCACAGACAGAATCAGCAAGATCCTCCACAAACACAACATCAAGACAGCATTCTGCACAAACTGAAAAATATCCGTTATCCTAAGAAACCCCAAAGCCAAAATTGAGTTAGAAAATCAAGGAGTATATGAAATCCCATGCACCGCCTGCCCCACCACATACATCGGACAAACCAACAGAAGAATAAGTGCACGCATTGAAGAACACAAGAACTCAGTCAGAAAAGAGGAACAAACTTCTTCCCTGGTCCAACACCTTAAAGCCACAGGACATGATATTGACTTTAAAAAGACCAGAACTATTACCAAAACTGAATACTTTAACAACAGAATAATCAGAGAAGCCATCAAGATAGAAAAATGCCACACAGCATGAATAAACGAGATAATACCTCCCGCCTACCAGCCATTTCAAAACCCGCCCTCATTGACAAACGAGTCCCTAACACAAAGAATGATACCAAACCCACACTCACGAAAACCACACAGGATGTCACCACCACACATCCACGCAAAAAGCAAACCCACATCAATGAGGCACAACCATAAACCAGAAGCCAGACCACAGCTGCATCATTAGCCACTTTAAACCCCTCCAATCCATACATGAAGCAAACTGACACCCACCATGAAGATGTGGCACGACCACGAACGTGAACCAAACAACAGAAATGCAGCTCACTAGCTCAAATCCCCCTGCAATTCAGACTAACCCGAGCACAACCAAGCCCCCACTTAAACAGAACACACCCCCATCCAATCAGAGCACAGCCAACCCCCCAACCATTCAGAGCACAGCCAAACCCCCAATCAGAACACACCTCCACCCAATCAGAACACAGCCAAGCTCCCACCCAATCAGTTTACACCCCCACTGGCAGTTAAAAGGAAGAAACAGCTGCGATCACACATTGCTCCTAGAAGCACAAAGCCGAAAACACCAGCCTGAAGATGACGAATGAGACATAGTTAGATAGATAGATAGATAGATAGATAGATAGATAGATAGATGTTTAATTCAAAGATAGATTGATCTTATTCAATAAGCAGGTGAATACAGGAAAAAGCAGCGTTGCAGATGACCAGATTCAGAGCCACACAGGACCATAAAAATGTCAAAACAACCTTCAATTGCAAATGTAAGACAAGGTGCAGCCAGCTCAAATCCCAAAACCGTGGACTCCCAAGTAGAACAGGAAACATACCTGTTTCTTGTTACACTTGGAAACATTCATCATAGTCCAGGGCTGCCACATTTTGTATTAGCTTTAGCTTCCAAGTGCTTTACAGGTGCAGCCAAATGTAGATCATGTTATAGTTATCAAGACAAGAGATGACTAGGGCCTGGATGAATGGGAGCAAAGTTTCTCAATCCAAAAATGATTGCATTAGTGCACCAGATCTAACTTCAAAAGTCCATTTGGCCGCAGCTGTCACTTATCTGAAGAAGAGCTATAAGTCAAGAAGGATCCCAAGCTGTGGACCACTTTGAACTAATAACTATAATTTTCCATAGAGTTATGGAACAGCACTTCAATTGTTTGGTGTAGGGTTGAAATATTATTACTGTTGATACATGACTGTGCTGGTAGATTACACTTCCAGTGGTTTCACATAGATGTGAAGATAACCTGGGCTACTCCACGAAATAGAGGTCTCTGAGCAGAGCTGTCATCTCCTCCTCTGCTGAGAACCACCCTTTAGGAAGAAAAAGAATTATTGAAAGACAATATGTCAGTGAGAACTGACTTCTTCATTTCCCACTCAAAGTTATAGAGTCCCTTTTCAAAAATAGCAAGTTCCTTACCACTCCTGTCAATCTGGCATGGCCATCACAATTGAGTTGAGTTTCTTCTATCTTGGCTCTCTTCAGACCTGAAACTTGTCTCCAACTGAGTAACCATAAAAGATGTACCCAATTTGGCTTCCGGTCTGGTTTCCGCTATCGCCAGACGGTCCTTCGAGACCGCCAGCCCCGATGCCTGTAAAGAGCCACCTTTACACCTGAAAGGCAGCTCAAAAAACTCCATTTCCTGACGGAAATGTGAGTCAGAGCAGGCAAGGGCAGGTAGAACCCTCTGCGAAGTCTCCAGAGTTTTTTTTAATTCTTGGGGACGAGCAGGTTGAGGCTCCCTATTCCCGCTCGCCGCTGCTCCAGGCTTCGGGAGAACTCTGCCTTTTTTTGCAGAGCTAGGCGCTGGAACCAGATCAATCAACGAACCTAACAGATGGATTAATTAAAAAAGATGAGAATTGGACTTGGGACCCTAAATTGCAAGTATCCTTAATGAATTTATAAGCATTTTAGAGTGAAGGAGAAAAAAACTTTAAAATGGCGACCACTGAGGCTTGGGAAGTAGAAGAAAGCCGAAAGTGAGAGTCCTTCCGTAACAGCTACAAAGTAGCGGAATATATAGTGCTGGCTACAATTTGGAAGAAATATAGTTATTTTAAGTTCCTTTCTTCTTGGAGATTTGTACTTGATCTTGTTTGAGGAAAAGTTTTCCTTTAAAAAAAAAAGAGTTTGTTGGCAGGATGGCGTTAAAACTTATAAAGCCTGACAGACAAGCAGTGGGGAGGTGCTCCCCCATTCACAATTGTCTGAACAAGCTCTGATCCTACAGACTTTGCAGAATGGTTTTAACTTAAAAGAATTTCTTCAGGAGGAAATTGCAAAATATTATGAGACTGTGAACCAGAAATTTGAAAAATTAAGGCAGGAAATTAAAGAAATGATACAATTAAAGTATGATAATCTGCAACGAAAGATTGTAACAGTGATTAATGGTTTTTCAGAAGTTGTTATAAAGTTGGATACAAATATCAAATTACTAGAGTCTAAAATGGAGGAAGTTGATGATAAGATTTATAATTTGGACAATAAAATACAAAGAATTGAAAATGATTTAATAAATATTCAAGACAATAGTTTAGAAGTAAAGTCTAAAAAGGAAGCTGGTCACGAGACTTATAAGGCAGAAGATATAAAGCAAGGGATTGAAAGAGAAGTTGTAATGATGCAATACAGGCTTACAGAATTTGCGATCAGAATGAGAGGCTTACAGGAAAATAACAGTGATGAGCTAAGAAAAATATCTGCTCAAGTTCTGGCTGGGATCTTAAAGGTTCATCCTGAGGAGGTATCTTGTAAAATTGATAAGGCCTATAGAGTAAATTCTTGGATTGCAAAGCAAAGGCAATTGCCTAGAGATGTGGTGATTTACTTTACAGATAAAGAAATAAGAAATGATATTGTGCAAAAATCTTTTAATTCTACTCCACAACTGCATGGGAGAAAAATTTGGATATATAAAGAATTGCCGCCTAAGATGTTAAGAGATAGAAAGAAATTTGGACTTTTGATGACTGAGCTAAGAAAACAAAATATTTTATTCAGGTGGGATGTTCCAGTGGGTATAATATTGAGATATCAAGGAGAAAGATATCAGTTAAATACTGTTGAAAAAGCGGAAGAATTTTACTACAAGGTCCTTAAAAAGCAAAATCAACAAGAGATAGAAATTCAAGAAAAGCAGAAGGAGATGGAAGTAATGAAGAAACAACAAGTTACAGAGGTCTCCACAGATGAGCCGTTTTTGGATTCTCTCTCAAAGGTCGCAGCTGGACTATTTAATATAAGAGAGGCGGTTCCGGATTCTAATGTAATGACTTATCAAGCCACAAACCAGCATGGAAATCAATCAGTTGATATACAATTTATAGAACCAGAAAGATTTAAGCCACAAAAGAAAAACCAACAAGATCAAGTTATAGATCAGCATGAAAACCAAATAGTCGATACACAATTTACAGAAAGGAATTCAGGATGGAGATCTAACCCACAAAAAGTCAAGAAAAGAAGAAGCAGGTCTCACAAAAACAAAAACTTTTAAACTAAACAACAGTGTAATGCCAGTTATCTAAGAGATGATTGAATATATGAAAAGATAATGGGCAAAGTATTGGTTTATTTTATCCTGAGGAGAGTGACAGACCTCTGCAGTGCTGAACTTTTGGGATGTGAAAAGGGCCTTAAATTGAATGGATTGAAAATATCTTTTTTTGTTTTTTGGATTTTTTGATAAATATATTACGTTTATGCTGAGTTACATGGCAAGAGAGTTATTGGATTGGGGCACGCAGAAGATCTGGTTGTTACCCTATAATGGTGGTTGGAATTAATAATCTGGATAAAAGACACCTCTATAGACATTATATGGAATATAAATATAAAGTCACTCGGATGGTTGTTGGTGTTTTTTTTTTTTTAATATGAAGATATTTGTTACCAATGGGGGCAGATGGTAATTGAAGATACCGAAAATACTGTTGGAATTAGGATGCGATGTTACCCTAACATGAGTGATGGAGTTTATTATCCAGCTGAAAGACATTACAGAAGATATTATATGGATTACAAGCTTAAAGTCTTTTTAGGATTTTATTTACATAAGGGAATATTTTTCTAGTGGAGTGGGCAAAAGAATAAAGATATTAAGAACAATTAAGTATGGTAGTTTTGTAGGAAAGTGGGTGGAGACAGGTTAGGTTATTGACTGTTTAGTTTAAAGAAAAGGGATATTATGTTTAGATGTGAATATATGTAAAAGATTTGAGTTAAGAGATATAACGACGGGGGGAAGGAAATGGGTAGCTGAACTGAATAAATGTTAAATTAGGATTTATTATATAGTTTTATAGTGGAAGGTTGCTTTGAAATGTTATATTAACATACATAAAAGATTTGACTTAAGAGATATATGTATGGGGGGTAGTAAAAGGGTAGATTATGAGCAGAAATCGCTAAATTGGGAGGTATAATAATATTATCATGTTAAATTAGGAGCTATTAGATAATGTTATAATAGAATGTTACTTTGAAATGTATAGTATAGTATAGTACAAGGGGGATATGATAATTTTATTTTTTAAAAAAGGGTCAGCATATGGGGATGGAGTAAGTGGATGGTAAAGTATTATATAATCTGTTATGAATTTGGGTTTTATTATGAAGAAGCCACAGGGGGAGGGGAGGGTGTGGGGGGGTTAGGGAGGAGGGGAAAAAAAGTGGGAGGGAATCTGTATTTGAAAAACTTTTTCAATAAAAAAAAAAAGATGTACCCAATTTATTTTTACCTGGTTGTTTCCCTTTTCAGAAGATGCCAACACCTTCATTGGAATTGGGGCAGCCAGTACAGCTAGTAGGTTTGGATGAAAATGGGAGTCTCTACTTGGATACAGAGGCCCTGAGTAGTTGCTTAGAGCAGGAAGAGGTGAAAGATACTCCCATCTGCTTGATTTCCATAGTTGGGGAACAGCGACAGGGTAAATCTTTCTTGTTAAATTTCCTCCTACGGAGACTTAAAAACTTGGTAAGTCTGAGAATAAGTGTTTATTTTCTTAGTGTTTTAAAATGATTTTGATTGATGGTAATCTTCCTATGAACTTATAGTGTTATGTAGATTTTATTCAAGAAATCAAGCATGCAGAATGAGTTATATGGGTTGCATTTTGCACACGTTCAACTTTCTAAAGAATATGAGGAGAAATGGATAAGGCATATGAGGAAATGTATAAGGCATACATTCCTTGTCTGAAAAAACAAATGTAACAGCTTAATAATCAACCAATTATTATATTGATTATTATATTATATTATTACTGAAGGTAGAGCAGTATCTCATATCTCATCAGTATCTCACTGGCAGAGTACAAATGACTCTCAAGGGGTTTCTAATTTCCCAAGAGATTTATGCCATAAATAAATCATAAAAGATAATTAAAAAATAAATAATAAAATGAAGAATAAAAGAAAAACATCCATTTTACCAAAAGGCAAATTGATGAACTTTGCAGAAATAAGGAGCAAAATAGAGAACATTGCTTGGCCAAGTAATTTTTGACATATTGTGAAATATGTGTCATTTGACTAACCATGCTATTGCAATAGCTGCGTATTTCTTATCTAAATTATTTTTTTCCTAGGCTGTTACAGATAACTCTTGGCTGGGCCAAGAAGATGAGCCATTGACAGGTTTCGAATGGCATCCAGGAATTAAGAGCATCACCAAAGGGATATGGATATGGAATCAGCCATTTTTGGTCCCTGATGAAAATGGAAAGGTAAACATTTGAGTTCAATCCACGAAGTAATTTCCCTCTTTTTTCTGCCTTTTGTCTTCTTCTTTGTATCCTCTATGCCAGGTTTTTCAACAATTTTCTGAATTTAATGCATTTCCCTCCTCCTACACATCACAACAGTCTCCCAACTAAATAAAATTTCATTAATGCTATGCAAAAGGTTGATAGTATGATAGAAAACATAGATCTTGCCATGAACAATGTTGCTTGCCCGAGCTGGAGGTTGATCTAATTGATATGTCTGCATGATTGATTTGTTGATTGATTGATTTGTTGATGATATGCCATCAAGTCAATGTTGACTTCTAGCAACCAAATGGACAGTTTTCTTCACAATGATCTCTCCCTAATCTGGTCCTTCAGATCTTCCAATGTGCACCTATCATTGTTGTAATTGTATCTATTCACCTTGTTGAGTGTCCTCTTCTCTTTCCTTCCACTTTTCCTATCTACAGTCTTCTGTAGAGACTAAGTGTTTCATATAATATATATGAGGTGGTATGTGATAATTTGTGCTTCAAATGAGAAGCCTGGGTTAATTTGTTTTATGTTCCATTTGTTTTCCTTGTTGTCCATGGTACTTTCAGGAATTTCTTCCTGCACCAAATTTCAAAAACACAATGGAAAACTAGGTCACTGTACAGCATTCTGAAGCTTGTGTTTTTGCAAAAAAAAAAAATCTGTTCAACACAGAAAACAGATTCTAAAAGGTAACAGATTTACCAGTAATACAGAATGTGTCTTTACCACAATGTGAAGAGAGGGAAGAGAATTTTGAAAATAGAAACTTGCTTTTGATGTCACACCTAACATCTGCTCTATTCAGCTGTGCTTTGTGTGATCTTTGCCACTTCCTAACTATTTTACTTTTTGTCTTGTTTTGGTTACATCTCTTATGAAATTTAGATGACTCAATGGGCAAACTGGACCCTAGCCTATCTTTTCCATTATAAAATGATTAATTTCCTGTACTTCTGTTATGATGGTTGGACCGTTTTCAGTAGTTTTCTCTCTCTATTTTTTATTCCGTTTATCGTCATTTTGATTTTTTTTAAAATGTCAAAAATGCTGGGAGTTGTAGTTTAACCAGGACAGAATTTATTGATTGATTGATTGATTGATTGATTGATTCGATCTATATGCCGCCCTTCTCCGGAGACTCAGGGGGCTTACAATGCATTAAGCAATAGCCTTCATACTTTTGTATATACCTGCTTAGTAGGGCTTTTGCCCCCCCCCAAGCGGTGTTCTTTTTTATACAAAGTCATCTTATTGCCCCCACAATCCGGGTCCTCATTTTACCTACCTTGAAAGGATGAAAGGCTGAGTCAACCTTGAGCCTGGTGAGATTTGAACTTGCAATAATTGCAGGCAGCTGGTGCTACTTAATAATTAAGCTGGCCTGGCCTAACTCTCCTCTTTTAAATTTTTAATTTGTGATTTTATAAATTGGGTGTTTTAATCCGTGTTTCAGCCAAAATATTTAATAATTTTAAGGGATTTTTTAATATTTGTATTATTTGTATTTTATCTTGGCTGTTCACCGCCCTGAGTCCTTCGGGAGTAGAGCGGTATAGAAATTTGATTAATAAATAAATAAATAGTATTTTAGTCTGCTGCGCCACCAAGACTCTAAAAGATTTACCATCTCTGCTAAAAGCATATAATATACTTTAGAAATAAATTTTGTGGTTATGTACACACAACATTCCTAAAATGGTTATTAAATAATTCACATTGCACAACTTATTGTTTTTCGTAGGCTTTTATGTGCATATTCTTTCTAGCCAAGTTTTACCTACGTAAACTTAGTTGTTCTAAAGCCCTAGGTTCTGTGAAATCTCATTCACAAGTTTCTGGGCCTTTTTTCTGCTGACAAACTGCAACTCTGTGTTGCTCTCTGGGAGACTCAGATAGCTATTTCTGCCTTTTAAAGCGTCATCAGTGAGCCACACCCACTTCTCAGATATCCTTCCTGTAAAGGTACAATGTATCTTTTTTCTTCTTCGTAGGCTTTTATGTGCATATTCTTTCTAGCCAGGTTTTACCTACGTAAACTTAGTTGTTCTACAGCCCTAGGTTCTGTGAAATCTCATTCACAAGTTTCTGGACCTTTTTTCTGCTGACAAACTGCAACTCTGTGTTGCTCTCTGGGAGACTCAGATAGCTATTTCTGCCTTTTAAGGCGTCGTCAGTGAGCCACACCCACTTCTCAGATATCCTTCCTGTAAAGGTACAATGTATCTTTTTTCTTTTTCGTAGGCTTTTATGTGCATATTCTTTCTAGCCAGGTTTTACCTACGTAAACTTAGTTGTTCTACAGCCCTAGGTTCTGTGAAATCTCATTCACAAGTTTCTGGGCCTTTTTTCTGCTGACAAACTGCAACTCTGTGTTGCTCTCTGGGAGACTCAGATAGCTATTTCTGCCTTTTAAGGTGTCGTCAGTGAGCCACACCCACTTCTCAGATATCCTTCCTGTAAAGGTACAATGTATCTTTTTGCAGTTTGTCAGCAGAAAAAAGGCCCAGAAACTTGTGAATGAGATTTCACAGAACCTAGGGCTGTAGAACAACTAAGTTTACGTAGGTAAAACCTGGCTAGAAAGAATATGCACATAAAAGCCTACGAAAAAGAAAAAAGATACATTGTACCTTTACAGGAAGGATATCTGAGAAGTGGGTGTGGCTCACTGACGACGCCTTAAAAGGCAGAAATAGCTATCTGAGTCTCCCAGAGAGCAACACAGAGTTGCAGTTTGTCAGCAGAAAAAAGGCCCAGAAACTTGTGAATGAGATTTCACAGAACCTAGGGCTGTAGAACAACTAAGTTTACGTAGGTAAAACCTGGCTAGAAAGAATATGCATATATATGTGTGTGTGTGTGTGTGTGTGTGTGTGTGTGTGTATGTGTCCGTGTCCATTTATTTCTCTTCTCTGTTTCATCTCCAGGTAGCCTTGTTTTTGATTGACATGGAGGGCTCAATGGATATAGAGAGAAGCAAGGACAATGGTGTCAAGCTTTCAGCTTTCACCATGCTGTTAAGTTCCTATCAGGTAGAGTTCTAGAAACCAAATCATCCTTTTTTCCCTCTAGGCTGTAAAAATACCACATACTTACCATACCTTTGTTATGTTTCTTAATTATCTTTTAGATTCTTAATTTATCCCTTAACTTGAAGGATCCAGACCTGGAATACATGGAAGTGAGTTGGGTTTTAAATATTAAAAGTGAGGTCCTTGTCCAAGGGAGAGGTGGGAGACAGTGCAACATTATCAGGTAGAGGCGATATAAAAAATATTGCTAAAAGAAGGTGGCCTAAACCAAAGCCCAGACTTGGTATCCTTTGATTCAGGTAACCAAATTGGAAAGATCCTAGATTATTTTACTTGGTTCTCTTGACTGAATTGCAGGAATCTGTCAGCTGTGATACCCAAGCAGTTCGAATCAGTTTCAGCATACTACAAATAGACAATCAATGCCTTTGCAAAAGACTCCATAAATAGTAGGGTTATGCGGTACTTCAGATCCATTTACAGAAGATGCTGAGGAGGGTGAAAAATGGTAAATGTAATACCCTTTAAAGCACGTGTATCTTTTTCCAGGATATCTTATATATGATTGGCAAATAAATTTATGATTATGACTATGATATTTGGCAGCTACAGAAAAACCAAGTTAACCTTAGAAAAGATGTGGCTATTTTAAGAGTTTTGATGGGTATTTCAATCATACTTCAAAGAATCTTTTCCAAAGTGTTCCCAAAGTATTGCCAAGTCTCATTGTGGAGTAAATGTTAACAGGAATGTTAAACAACCAAGTCAGATTGCAAAAAAAAGCCATTTAATTTATTAGACACTATTAGGCACATTGACCTGCCAGAACAAACTGATTTCAAGACAGCTTTATTAATCTTTGTCCCAATGGAAAACATGGGCACCTAGTAGTTATTATCAGATCCCTGTTGCTCCTGTGTGTGCATTTGTGACCTACTCGCTCTTCCGTTTCCACAATGAAGACATCAAAATAGATCAGGGAAACCAGTCAGGAAATTTTCAAATTTACATGGTTGACTCAGCCATGAATACAATCACTGAACAAAGCTTGGATCCCCACAGCATGTTGATCTTAGATACCAAATTAACCCATTGTCTGAATCTGCACATCCACTGAATCATTAACTTACCTCTGGTGCTTGTTTCATGCAATTCACTGTGTCACAAAAACACTGTGTTACAATTTGGCATGTTGTACAAATGCAACTGATAATTCTTTAACTGATCTGAATAATTTGGTTGTCTCAATAACATTAAAAGTATTAGCTGGAAAACTAATATTGCTTTGTCTTTGTTTAAAAACAATAGGTTAAGTAATTTAAGGTGATTACTGTATTACATTTTAAAGGGTGAATAAATATACCCCCATCAGCTTAAATACAGTACTGTATTTAAGTATACTGTCCTGAATTCTCTGGAATAGGTCAGAATACAGATGTGACGTAAGACAAATTTGTAAATTTAAATAGGTATTATTGTTGTCTTAAAATAACAACAACAACAACAACAACAAATGACAACATCTTCCTATCCTGTGTTTTGCGGAAGGACTCAATAGGTGGATAAAAATGCCAAATCCAATTTAAACATCTGGATGGCTGTGCAATGAATCATTATCATATCATTTCTAGAAATATAATTTTTATGTGTCTCTTTATCTTTCCTGTTATCAGAAACTCAAGGTAGCCAACAGTAAAAACAATAACTCACAAAATCATTTATTTCCTAAATCACGTTTCAGTTCTTTATCTCTGCTACTGAGTGAATAGACAATTAATTTCAGTGAAATTCAATCACCTAATTTAGTAGTCATCTACTTCTTTTATCTCACAGATGTTTTTGTACATAGCGAAGTCTGTGGGCCATCAGTTCAAGCTAAAGCCTGTTCAGGTACGGAGTCCCATCTTTTTCCTCCTTTCTTTTTACATGTAATGTATATTTTCTCCCCCTCTTCCACTGACACCATTCCCTCAGGACTGTTGCTCTTATACATGGTCAAAGAGGCTCTTTGTTCCTGAATTCCTGTTCACAGCTAATGCCTCTTCATCTCTGTTTTCTTCTGCCTGGTACACGCATCTCTCTTTCCTTTTCTTTCATTGTGAATACCAATGAATTTTTTTTATGCACTGCTATTGAAAATGCATTATTTATCTCTATAATGTATTCATTTTTCATCTCGAGAAAGGACAATAATCTCTGAATAACGCTTTTTTTTTTAAAGAAAAAGTCAAAAATTGGATAGACCAGGAATATTTCCACCATATTCATAAAATAAGGGCTGGTTGAGTAGGATAACTTATTTTTCCAAAGCACACACCCGTTCCTTCCCTCACTGTGCTGTTGCTTTAAGAAAGTTTTCTCTGCTTGATTTGAATGTCAGAACCTAATCAGGCAGTGATAAAGTTAGTACAGAAAATGAGATTTTCATCAAAAGTATGGATAACAACCTCAGGTCCTGAGGCTTCGAGTTCCATTTTTCAGCAATAAGAAATTCTGTTCAGAATTATAATTTTTCCAAAATAGATGTTGTAAGCCATTGAAAGTCCAAAAGTTATATCTATCCAAAATGAGAAAAAAGCAACCCAAATGTTGCTATGATTCCCTTGGTGACAATAACAATAGCACTTAGATTTAGATACTGCTTCACAGTGCTTTTACAGCCCTCTCTAAGCAGTTTACAGAGTCACCATATTGCCCCCTACAACCTGGGACCTCATTTTACCCACCTTGGAAGGAAGGAAGGAAAGCTGAGTAAACCTTGAGCCACTGGGACTTGAACTGACAAACTGCTGGCAATCAGCAGACAGCAGAAGTAGCCTGCAGTATTGCACTCTAACCACGGTGCCACCACATAGTATCATCAGCCCTACCTGTTGTGATCTTTGGAAACTGAAAAAGGGGAGGTTGTTAAAAAGAAACAGGAGTAGCCTAATTGCAATGTGAATGTCACTTATTTAACAAATGTTTCACTTAGCAATATAAATAAGGGAAAGTGTTGTCTTACTTTCACTGTAATTATGATATGCTTGGTAAATGATATAAATAAAATGAAAACCAATCTTTAAAAGTAGGACTGGCCTCAGAGAGAGGTCAGAACTAAAGCTCTAGGAGAACAGATTGTTTTCATTATTATTCTCCTGCCCTCTATAAGTGAAGAGATGAGGCAGCTTTGCTCCCCATTGGCTGCATAGCCTGGGACCAGAAGGATGGATGAGTGAATAAGATGAGGGATTTGCAGAGTAAGAAAGAATCTGATAAAGTAGGAAAGCCCTTAGAAGTTACAGGTAGTCCTCGAGGTATGACCACAATTGAGCCCAAAATTTATGTTGCTAAGTGAAACATTTGTTAAATGAGTTTGCCCCATTTCACAACATTTCTTGCCATAGTTGTTAAGTGAATCATTGCATTTGTTAAGTTAGTAACCCAGTTATTAATTGAACCTGGCTTCCTCATTAACTTTGCTTATCAAAAGGTCCCAAGAAATGATCACATAACCCCGGGACACTGAAACATCATAAATATGTATCAGTTGCCAAGCATCTGAATTTTGATAGTGTGACTATGGGAATGCTGCAGTGATTGTAGGTGTGAAAAACGGTCATAAGTCACTTTTTTTCAGTGCCATTGTAACTTTGAATGGTCACTAAATGAACTGTTGTAAATTGAAGACTAGATATTTCATCCAGGGCCTAAAAGTCAGCTTTGTTTAGTAGGGAAGGATCCTAGTTTCTCAGCAGTATGCATTATTCATCTGTCTCCCTGTTTTGGCAGCATTGATGGATATGCCAAATGCATCCTTTGGCAAGAGAAGGTGATAAGATTGAAAATAGTTCCTGTGGTTCTTTGTAATGGTAGAATCATCCCCATAACTTTGCAGCCCTATGTACAATCTGCTTTCTAACTCATCTTTGCTACAGTGTAGAGTAGGTTTCTTGCTTCCATGCATCCAGTGGACGTGTAGTGGGACCAGAATCGGAAGAAAGGAAGTCAAATTCTCTTGCTTTTTTGTTGCAGCATCTTGATCTCTTGGTTCGTGACTGGTTCTATCCTCCCACCTATGGATTCCAGGGTGGACAAGTTTATCTCCATGATATCATCCAGGTAAACCTATTATAGAAATTATAGAAAGATATCCTGTGTTGATAGTGAAGAGATTATCAGGAGTACATCTAAAGAAAAGAAACAGAGTGATTGTGAGGTGGTGTTACAATGGTTGCATCTTCTCCCTTCTATTTGTCCATTTAACTTCAGAAGCTGGAGGGTCAACCCAATCGGTATTCACGATCCCTGGAAATATTCAAAAGCACCAACACTTCTTGTTACCTGATGCCCTTCCCTGGCAAGGCGTTGGTGATGGGAACTGAAGGCACCATAGCAGGCAAGAATCTTTTTCTTTCCATTATACTTTCTTCATGTTCCTCCCACAAGTCTATTCATCTGGCATTTGCATGAATTTTAGGAAGGAATAAGCACAATGACTTCATTCTATCACAAGGAGGAACATTAATATCATAAATCCTTTCTGATTAACGGTGGAGTTTAAAAACAGTTAAATCAATTCATTCTTTGGCTTGAAATGGAACTGGGGAACTGGGGGAAACAAACTATGGAACAGGGGTTTTTTTTTTTTATATTATCATCGTTTAAAAATTGCTCTGAATCCAAAAGGCAATGTAAAATGACTCTGGTGAAGCCAACAAGATTTTCCACTTTCCCAGACTATTTTTTATGAAATAAATTCTTATTCTACAAATAATTGGTATGATCAAAATTCACTGAAACTTTGTTAAGTTTCTTTCTTTAAATTTCAATTTTCTATTATATTTCAACTTTCTATTATATTTACCTCGAGTTTCTATACAAACTCAAGGTAAACCGTTCCAAACTCGATTGCAGAAAATATGACTTCAGTAACAGAGTGGTCAATGCCTGGAATGCACTACCTGACTCTGTAGTTTCTTCCCCAAACCCCCAAAACTTTAACCTTAAACTGTTTACTGTTGACCTCACACTGTTCCTAAGAGGTCTGTAAAGGGCGTGCATAAGTGCACCAGAGTGCCTACCATCCCTGTCCTAATATTCCTTTTTACTTACTCTTTTCATGTATTCAAATTATGTTTATATTTTTTATTTGTAATCTTATATATGCTTGACAAATAAATAAACTTAAACTATTTGATATTTGTGGCTAATAGCAAAATATGCCTTTTTCTGAAAGGGCTCCTCATCCCTCCCTTACTCACGGTTGATAGATCAATTTTGTAAGCCCTCTGCTGCACTCATTTTCCCCAAAGCTTATAAGATTACTAAAAGTGCACAAAGCCTGAGTCTTGGAGATATTAAAAATATTCTAAAATAACAATTTCATTTCTCCAACCACCAGCACCCAAACACACTGCATATACAGGCATACATACTGAAGCAAAGATTTATCAGATAGGATAGCTCCCTTTTAAGGCCAAGTCAACACTCTGTTGCATTTTGGAGTCTTGGGCTTAATCTGGTTGCATTCAAATATTTTCAACCATTAACTCCAGAAAAAGTAAAAAAATAAAAATAAAAAATTGTGCTGGCCAGAACAGTCTGAATTGTTTTTTGCAGATATGGATGACGATTTTAGGGGATTCCTGAAGGATTATGGGAATCATATTGCCAGATCAGCTGGAATGCATGTACAGAGAAATCAGAACAACGAGCCTCTCACCGGGATAGAACTTGCTGATAAGATAAAGGTGAGAGTTATGGGAATCAAATGATGTAAGCAACCTATGCCTTTGTATAAGTATTTGGCATATAGAGATTTCTATTATTGCATCCAAAATATATCAGTTTCTTGAGGTGTTTCTCAACTTCAGGAATTTTAAGATGCATGGACTTCAATTCCCAGAAGTCCCAGAAGCAGGGGTGAAATGCTCCCAGTTCGAACCGGATCTCCTGATCCGGTAGCGATGGAGGCGGGTGGTTCAGAGAACCGGTAGCAAAAGTCCCTGCCCCCCCCAATTGCCCAACTGAGCCGCGCAATCATCGAAGGCTTTTTTTTTTTATTTTTAAAAGCATATTTTCTACAACCTCTTTGTAGAAGCATTTAAAAATGCTTTTAAAAGTAAAAAAAAAAGGCTCTGATGATCACGCGGCTCAGCTGGCATCACCAGAGGCTTTTAAAAGCATTTTTTCTACAACCTCTTCGGCCAAAGAGGTTATAGAAAAAATGTTTTTAAAAGGAAAAAAAGCCTCTGCCAATCAGGCAAGTCAGCTGGGATCGTCAGAGGCTTTAAAAGCATTTTTTTACAACATCTTCAGCCGAAGAGGTTGTAGAAAAATAGTTTTAAAAGTAAAAAGAACAAACAAAGTTGGCCATGCCTACTCAGTCATATTACCCTCCCACACACACACCATGCCACGCCCACAGAACCGGTAGTAACAAATTTTACATTTCACCACTGCCCAGAAGTATTGGCTAGGGCAGGGGTCTCCAACCTTGGCAACTTTACGACTTGTGGACTTCAACTCTCAGAATTCTGGGAGTTGAAGTCCACAAGTCGTAAAGTTGCCAAGGTTGGAGATCCTGGACTAGGAATTCTGAGAGTTGAAGTCTACACATCTTAAAGTTGTCAAGTTTGAAAAACACTAATGCAATTATTCCTTCTCTAATAAAATTACTTATATAATATTATTTATTACAATTACATCTATGCTGTAATCTGTACTGTATAACACTATAACTCAACCTCAGCAAGGATTTCAACTCGCAGAATTCCCTAATTGGTGTGCTCTAAAACATACAGTACTTCTCCATTACTATCTACCAAACATTGATGTCTTCTTATATACAGGTAATCCATAACTGAGCCCAAAATTTCTGTTGCTAAGTGAGACATTTATTAAGTTAGGTTTGTTAGGTAGAGCTGTGGTCTAGAGGTGAAGCTCTTGCCTCATAATCAGGAGGTTGTGAGTTCAATCCTAGGTAGAGGCATATGTAGGGTCTCCTGCTTGGGCAGGGGGTTGGATTAGATGACCTGTAAAGTCCCTTCCAACTCTGTTAAAGTGAATTTTACCCCATTTTATGATGTTTCTTGCCACAATTGTTAAGTGAATTGCTGCAGTTGTTAAGTTAGCAACATGGTTGTTAAATGAATCTAGCTTCCCAATTGATTTTTGCTTGACTGAGGGTCGGAAAAGGTGATCACATGACCCCAGGATACAGCAACCGTCATAAATGTGAGTCAAATTGCCAAGAATCTGAATTTTGATCGTCATGGGAATATTGCATCAGTTGAAAGTGTGAAAAATTGTCATAAGTCACTTTTTTCAATGGTGTTGTAATTTTCAACGGTCACTAAATGAACTGTTGTAAATCAGGGACTACCTGTAGTCTATTCTGACAATTCCCCCCCCCCCCCCCGCCTTTCTGGGAATTAAAAGTGTTGTCACTTTTAACAGCCAGCAGATGGAGCACTTACACTTTTCTAAATTGTCCTTTTTGTTTCTGTACATTTGTTTTCATTGTCCACTCCTTCCAAAAGGAACAACTTCTATCTTTTTGCTGCTAATGGCAGCAGAAAACATACATCTCCTATCTTCCCAATTACACCTATGGCAAGGTTGCTGCTTTATTGGCATCTAACTCTGCTACTCTAATGGTAGACAAAAGGTTTAAATGAGAGGGAAAGGAAGGCGCACAGAGATCTGAAGCCAGCAAGTTCAATCTTTGTGAGATGCCCTATTCCGGATAGGTGAAAAATGGTTATATGGAGAGGGACCCTAGAATCTGCAGTTTGGACTAAAATTGTATGTGTGAATTGACAGGCAAACAGGAAAGGTCCAGCACTGCCTGTTCAAAACATGATTTCACAGAAACTCAGAGTTAAAATCCGCGCTCATTTCAAAAATCCAGTTAAAAAATAAAGGGAAATAATCAAAGCCATTAAAAAGCGAAAGTTAGAGTATTTTGGACATGTGATGCGACACCCAGAAAAATATGGCATCCTTCACTTAATCCTCCAGGGAAAAATTTAAGGCAAATGAGGCCCAGGCAGAAGAAGAACATCTTGGCTTCAAAACCTAAGGGACTGGTTTGGACAAAACTCAGCAGCACTTTTTCATACGGCTGTTGACAAAAATAGGATTGCCAACATGATCGCCAACGTCCGATGACGGACATGGCACAAGAAGAAGAAGAAGTTAAAAACATCCAGGCAAATGATCCTTGAAGTACCACTTGAACACATTACACAAAGGGTAATTTAACTCCACTGCTGCTTGGCTCTGTTTGTAGCCAGTGGATATCTACCACATCAAGGTGTTTGTTCTGAATCTTACGGGGAGCTTTAGTCACACATTCAGTTGTTGTCTGGTTTGGTTTGAGCCTTGTTACTACAGACTCTGAAGGAAAGGAACATGGTTGCCTCCCTTCTTTTATCCGGTTATTAATGGGAGAAATCATGATATGCTTTGGCTTGACTTGGCGCACTGATGCAATTGATGTTCCCTCATAGCATGGCCAAAATTAATACAAGCCTAATGAGATCTTTATGCATGATGATACTGCGCCCCTCTAGCCTGCCTTGGCACATCTGTGAGTCTTTTCAGCAGTTGACATATGTGTTCCATATATGAGTTTTTGTGTGTTTGTGTGTGTTAAAAAAAAATCCTTCTCACCTCTATGGTTGGTATGCATCTTCCTCACTCTTGGGTCTTCTACCAGGACCCTTGAAGTTTGAGGGTTCTGAGTAGGATCCTAGCTGATCCTAGTATTGCACTTGATTAGACAGAGAGCTATGTTGGAGGCCCTCTCCCAGCTTAGGAGTCACAGCCCCACATGTTACCACTACAGGGTGCAATTCAGCCTTTACTTTTCACATCCTCCTTAGTTCCTCCATCGGGCTTAATACTTCTCTAGTTTCTCGTACTCCTTCTTCCTGATGTTGCTATCACTTGGCACCACTACATCTATCGCCACCATTGTCTTCTGGTCCTTGTCTACTGTCACAACACTAGTAGTAGTTCTACCTATTTGTAGTAATATATAATTTTATTCAAGATTTTTATATATGTAAAATATAAACATGAAAATATACAATGAAGTGTTGAAAAAAAACCCCTGCAAGGTAAGTATAGACTAGGGGTGTCAAACTCAATTTCATTGAGGGACACATCAGGGTTATGTTTGACCTTGCGGGGGGCAGGGGGCATGGCCAGCACAACATTACTATGGTGGCCTAAGCGCTCTGCCAGTGAAAACAGGCTCCCGAGCTCCATTTTTTACTTTTCTTGCTCTATATCAATGACTTATGTGATCAACTTAAAAGCAATTGCGTCCTTTTGGCCGATGATGTCAAATTATTCAATACTACAGATAATTCTATTGTTTTGCAAAGTGATCTTGACTATGTATCTGAATGGTCATCTATTTGGCAACTTCAAATTTCGATTAATAAATGCTCTGTCTTACATATTGGTAAGCATAATCAGAATATCAAGTATAAGCTAGGTGACATTGATCCAGCAGATGACCCTCAGTTTGTCAAGGACCTAGGTGTACTTATCTCTGACGACCTATATTCCAAAGTTCACTGTAACAGCGTTGCTAAAAAAGCATTAAGCATTTTAAGTTTAATTTTGCGAAGTTTTTTTCTGGAAACATTGTATTGCTAATTAGAGCTTATAAAACTTATGATAGAACAATTCAATTGTTCAACTGTTTGGAATCCCCACCATATATCTGACATCAGTACAATCGAGTGGCTTCAGAAGTATTTCACAAGAAAAGTCTTGCACTCTTCCGTGCACAATAGAATTCCTATGCTACTAGGCTCGAAATTCTTGGTTTGGATAACTTAGAACTGTGTTGCTTGCGGTCAGACCTAGGTATTGCATACAAAATTATACGTAGTAATGTTTTACCTGTAAACGACTTTTTTTGTTTTAATCTCAATAATACGCACAATAACAACCACTTAAACTCAATGTAAATCGTTCTAAATTTGACTGTAAAAAATATGATTTATGTAACAGAGTTGTCAAAGTCTGGAATGCTCTACCTAATCCAGTTGTCTCAGCTACAAATTTTCACAGTTTCAGTTGTAAATTCCGTGGACCTTACTTCATACTTAAGTGGTCAGTAGAGTAGATGTGCATAAGTGCACTCACATGCCTATCGTCCCTGTCATTGTTTTTTTTTCTTTTATTCTTGTTCTCATTTTTGTTTTGTTTGTTTGACAAATTCTAATAAATAAATAAAATAAATAAATGATATGGGAAAAATACTGTGCATTGATCTATCCATATAGTCCATGTGCAGGTAGGTTATAAATTTACTCTCTACATATCTGGAAGTATTCTGAATAGCCATCTAGGAAAGTCTTTTGTTAATCAATTTTTACATGTTTTTTATTCTTTCAGGCTTTGTCAGAACTCATGAAACAATATCACACTGGTTTTTCCTCACCCACAGAGGTACTGACTTCTCCATTTTTTTTTCTGTATCTTTCCCCGGTATACACTTATAACTAGTTTGCACTTTTTAAAAAGAAAAACATCCTTCAGATCAAATTCCACATTTGAATAGAATTCTATTGGCCAAGTGTGATTGCTGATTCCATGAACACATCCAGGTTGTTTTCTGGGCAGCTATGTAGAAATGATTTGCTTTCACTCTTTTCTGTTTCATTTTGCTTTAATCTTAGCCTAACTTACAATTCTAATATTGTTGGGTGGGTTCCCAACAAGGAATCACAAGAGCCTGATAAACATAATGGGGCATGAAGAAGAGCAAAGGAATTTTGCTAAAGCTAAATTGGACTGGGCCTAGTTAGCATTTGGATGGAAGAACATCCATTTATTGAATTCTATAGAGCCGTGGAAGATGGGATGAGGCCATCATAAATAACTTGTTAGATATGCCTTTGGAGGTCCATAGCAGGAAATCCTATTTCTGATAGTGATAGATTAACCAGTGGGGCAGCTTGACTTCAGAAGTTGGAGGTGCTTCACCACTGGAGGCCTTTAAGAAGAGACTGGACAGCCACTTGCCTCAAATTGTATAGGGTCTCCTGCTTGAGCAGGGGGTTGGACTAGAAGACTTCCAAGATCCCTTCCAGCTCTATTCTGATTGATTGGATTCTGCAGTTGTAACCATTTCCATTAAAAAGGAGCAGTTATGAAGCTAAATAGCTGACATGAATGGACCTGCTACACAATCCAACTTTATTCCTTTCCTTGTCTCTTCTGGGATGTGAGGGAACTCAAGGAAAGATTAAAATTTTCTGTAGCCACATCTGCTAATATTTCCTTTTTCCTTCTTCTCAGATGATCTATACCTTCAACCAGAACAACAATAAAATGTTCCAGATGAAATTTAAAAAGTTCATCCAAAAGCAGGTAGGACAAGCCCAGTTTTATTATAGTTTTAATTTTTTAAAAGGCAAAAAATGATGATTCTGAAAATGCAAATACTTGGAATATGTTAGAGAGAGAACAGATTTCTATGGTTTGCCTACTGTAAATTGGCATGTAGTGAAGGTGAAAGGATTGACATTTAGTCAGTATGGTAGACTAGAATCAGAGATGTAATAGAAACCAGAGGGATGAGCTTTTAAAGTTCAAGTCCAGATAAGGACCAGAATTTTGGTTGCTAAACGATGTGGTCATTAAGTATGAAATCATCCGTGATCAGATCCCTGTTTTACAAACATTTTTCCACAGTTGTTAGGCAAAATATCATAATTAAGCTAATGACTTGTTAAATGAATTATGTGGTCATTAAGTGAATCTGGGTTCCCCCATTTGACTTTGTTGAAAACTACCGTATTTTCCGGCGTATAAGACGACTTTTTAACACATGAAAATCTTCTCAAAAGTCGGGGGTCGTCTTATACGCCGGGTGTAGTTCTCCTGTAACCAGGCAGACCAGCCCGAAAGGCTCTGACGAGCCTTAAATGGCTCTGGCGATCCCAGCTCTGGCGATCCCAGCTCTGACGATCCCAGCTGAGTTCCCTGCAACTCAGCTGGGATCGCCAGAAACCACGTAAAAGGGAAAAAGTTTTTTCCCTTTTACTCGGAGGATCCCAGCTCTGACGATCCCAGCTGAGTTCCCTGCAACTCAGCTGGGATCGCCAGAAACCACGTAAAAGGGAAAAAGTTTTTTCCCTTTTACTCGGAGGATCCCAGCTCTGACGATCCCAGCTGAGTTCCCTGCAACTCAGCTGGGATCGCCAGAAACCACGTAAAAGGGAAAAAGTTTTTTCCCTTTTACTCTGACGATCCCAGCTCTGATGATCCCAGCTGAGTTCCCTGCAACTCAGCTGGGATCGCCAGAAACCACGTAAAAGGGAAAAAGTTTTTTCCCTTTTACTCTGAGGATCCCAGCTCTGACGATCCCAGCTGAGTTCCCTGCAACTCAGCTGGGATGGCCAGAGCCATGTAAAAGGGAAAAAGTTTTCCCCCTCCAGCTTGCTTACCTCAGCTGCTAATCGCAACGCTTGCCTTGCTTTGCTTGCTTGAATCTATTCAGGCAAGCAAGCAACTCCCTGCCTGCAATCAAGCAAGGAGTTAGTTGTGGACTTCAACTCCCAGAATTCCTCAGCCAGCAAAGCAAAGCTGGCTGAGGAATTCTGGGAGTTGAAGTCTACAAGTCTTAAAGTTGCCAAGGTTGGAGACCCCTGTTCTATTGGGTAAGTTTTTTTCCCCTTTGGGAGCTTTAAAAAAAATAGTCAATTGGGGTTTTTTTAGTTGTTCTTTTTTAGACCTAGCCATTTAGGAAGCTGTTTAGGAAGTTTTAAATTTAGCTTTCATATAAAAATAAAAATAAAATAAAATAAAATAATATTTGTGCAGCTTTCTGAGATTTAGTGTGTTTCTGTAGTGTTTCACTCCAACTACACAAACACACAAAATCTCACAAAGCTGCATGTGGAATTTTGTGTGTGTAAAGTGTGAAAGTTGGTTTTTTGGACTTTTTGTGGCTGTGTGAGGTTCCTGCTTGTTGCAGGGGCCATTTTGGGTCTAGCACAGCTGCTTTTACATTGTGGGTGAGCCAGTTGATGTTTTTTAATTTTTATTTGGTGTGCATTGGAAGAGGGGCAGTCTTATATGGCAAGTATAGCCCAAACCCTATATTTTAACAGGAAAAGTTGGGGGTCGTCTTATATGCCCAGTCGTCTTATACGCCGGAAAATACGGTAACTAGATCACAAATTGCAGTCCTGTGATAACAGGATGCTGCAACTATTGTAAATGCAAGCTGGTTGCTGAGCTTCCAAATCATCACTTAAATTCAAGAACAAGCTATAAGTCACTTTTTTCAAAGCTATCGTAACCCTAAACTATCATTAAATGAACAGTCATAAATTGAGGACTACCTGTAGTGGTGTTAGTAAGTATTTAAATACAGAAAAAGGAAATCAAATGATTTTTGATTGATATTGTCTGAGGATGGACTGTGTTTTGCAAAATTTAGTAGATAAACCATTGATCCCTGGTGGTGCAGTGGTTAGATACAGTATTGCAGGCTAACTCTGCCCATAACCTGGAGTTCAATCCTGACAGGGCTTAAGTTTTGACTCGGCCTTCCACCTTTCTGAAGTCAATAAAAAGAGGATCCAGATTGTTGGGGGCAATATGCTAAACCTCTCAGAGAGTGTTGTAAAACACTATGAAGCAGTATATAAGTCTAAGTGCTATTGCTATTCCTAGACCCATAAAACAAATTAAAATATTTTGGCAGTTCAAAAGCTTATCACACAGGTATGGGTTTGTTTGTTAGTTAGTTAGTTAGTTAGTTTCAGCTTAATTGACCAGAAAAGACTATTGGGAATATAAAATGGCAAATATAAAAAATCTGGGGGCCTTAGATATAAGGGCATATTAAGTATATGATAAATAGTGGGATAATAAGAAGCAGCATTGTTATGAATCATGAGATGATTAATATTTTCAGTTTTCTCCATCTATTTCTGTACTACCCTTTCATCTTCAATCTTAGGATGAAATCTCACGTTCAATGTTGGGAAGCCTACGTGTGTCCCCAAATTCGATGACTAAGCGCTTAAAGGAGAAGCAAGAGAAACTGCTCCAACAGTTCCGAGACTCATTTCAGGGTGATGAGCCACATCAGACAGAATTTTTAACTTGCCTGGACTCATACCAGAAGTGTGAAGCTAAAGATTTCTTGGAAGATTATAGACGCCGCTTCAAATCCTCTGCTATCAAAGCCGGAGTAGCCATTGGGGTGGGTGCTGTGGGGTTAGCTGGTGGAGCTGTTGGAGCTGGTATAGCAGCAGCCTTGTTGGCAGGGGAAGCCATTGTGCTGGGCACTGGTGCTACTTTTGCAATTGGGACTGTGGCTGGGGCAAGCACATTTGGACTGATTGGGGGAGGAGTGGGAGCTGGTGTGGGGAGCTGCATGTGGGATTCTAAAGACAATGATAACAAGAATGATAATGATGAGACAGAAGAAGAACAGGAGGAGGAAAATGTGTCAGATGAGAAAAGTCTTATTAACTGATGAGGTTCATCTTAAGAATTAAAGCCCCACACGTCCTTCATTAAAGAACAAATACCTGCTATAAAGACATAAATCCCAAGAGACTAGTCTCATGTGCGCTCCTTTGTCTCAAGAACTATGGAGAATTAGTTATTCTGTGACCATTCTGGGATAGCCATAAAATAGCATAGTTCCAGCACAAAAATTTGGACTTGCAAGTGACAATAAAAGACAAAAGCAAATGCTTCATATAGCAGCAATTAAAAGAATAATTATTTCCTCTGTATCTCTCCCTCCCACTGGGGGAAGGGGGAGTGCTCCAGTGAATTACCAATAGCATGTTTCTCCTGCTCTAGCACCTATTCTGAGATATAGAATAAAGGAGAAAAGGAAATTACATCCAGGGCATCAGCTGTAGACATGGAGCTACTTAAGGATATCCATTCTGCAATGGTCTGCTTTGGATCAAAATCTAAAACAGACTAAAGTGGGCTTTGTTGTCATCTCAAAATTTATCACTAGAGGCAATTCCTTCACAGAAAGATGGAGCTGCATCAAAGGTTAAATGTGTGATTTATGTTGTGTTACAGTTACAATACTTCCTGAAGGGAAGGCCCTTCGCTTGATCTTTCATGCCCCAGTCATCTCCTGTCTGGATTATTGCAATGCACTCCACATGGGGCTACCCATTAAAAATTATTCAGAATCTTCAGTTATGTGAGCTGCATTGGGTGATGGGTTTGTTTCCATATCCAATTCAAGCTGCTCATTATGACCTTTAAATTTCTATATGGCAAAAGGCCAGATTACCTGTCCAATTCTGCAATTGTCTTTATTCCATTATATTGATCTGCCCCACCTGGTCAGGCAAAGAAGGCATGCTGCAGAACCCATTAGGTAAATAATTTTGACTGGTGGGCTCAAGGAAGAGAGCTTCCTCTGCCATTGTCCTCATTCTTTGGACATTCTCTCCCCCAGAGGTGAGGCAGGCCCCCACTTTCCTGGCTTCTCATAAATGCTTGAAGACCTGGCTGTTTATCCAGTTGGGCCCCACAGATGAGCACACAGCCATGGGGCCAGCTGGCACCCCAAAGCCTTTCCCTGCCTTTTTAATCTTGAACTTTAACTATTCTGTTCCTGCTTTTAATTCTTTTTATTATAATATGTATAGCTTTTATGGTTTTTATATCTACTTATACCCTGCTCAGAATCCCTCCACGAGAGAGATGGGCAATTTGTAAATATTATATGATATATTATGTATTATATCATGTAATATATATGATATATTATATGATATAATATGATTCAAGATTCTGGTGGTCACCTTAAAAGCAGTACATTGACGAGACCAAGTCAACTGATGGTCCAGTGAGAACAGGGAGACAAGGCCTGTTAAAAGTCCTTGTACTGAGAGAATATCATGTTCATGGTTCCCATTCCTAAACTCGGGTTCCTAATCTGAGGCCGCAGCCCGTTACTGGTCCACGGCCTATTCGCAACGGGACTGCATGAGTGATCTGTTGCATGCACATGTGCGAACGTGCACTGTCCTACTTGCATGAGCGTTGGGGTTTGCAGCCTCATGTGAGCAATGGGTGCTCACACACACGCAGGTCCTGCTTTTACCATAAAACCATCACCTCTTTTCCTCCTCTCCCCACCTCCCCCACTCAGGACTGCCAACCTGGAAAGACTAGAGAACAATGCCTAAGTTTTCTCAGTGGTAGCAACCTCTTTTGCAAATACCTTTCCCAAAACATACATTCCCAATAAATTTTCAGAGAATTTTAAAGACTCTTGGAAGATATTTAGGAGAGAGATGAAATGCTGGGTTCTAGGATCATAGGATGTTCTTTGTGGTTCCATGTTTTTAAGTTGTACTACTGTAATAGATTGTTGATAATGATGGTGACTGATGGATAACAAACTAAACATTTTTTTTTTACAATAACATAAATACTGTGGCTATATTGGCTGCACATTTACCAAAAAAGTTCCTTACTGACCTTATGATATACTGAATCTTATGATATTACCAGAATAATAAAAAAACTTCTAATTTTTTTAACATTGATGGTTTGTATTTTAAAGGCTTGTTTTTATATGTGAATTGTTTTCATATAATTATACTACACCACCCAGATCATTTTGCATTAGATGGACAGCTCTATAAATTTATTTAATAAATAAATCCTAAGTCTCTAACCGGAACTTTAATTTCCAAAGAATACCAGTCAAATACAAGATTTGGTTTGTTATTTGTATTGTTATAGGAAACTTGATGGGGGAATGAGTAGAGGGACTTAATTTTTCCCAGAAAGGAAAGGAAACCCAGTTCCTACCAGTTTCCTTTATTGTGTTCTATTGCCTTAAATAAAATTTCTCTTAGCTTGCCTAAATGCCAGAAGCAAACCAAGGTAGTTTGTTGCAGAACGGTTTAATTGATGTATTTTCAAGTTCCTGGTTATTCAAAGAGCAAATCCCCCAGAATCTTTCTTAAAACAATGATAATCTGTGTTCAGGATGACAAATTTTCTCTGTTCACCCAGAATATTAAAGGCATCTCATGTTTCTCAACACCAAATGAAGATCACCAAGAAATTTCGTCCCACTGCTTCTGCTGTCATTGTAGTATCACCATCCTAATCCAGATGATCCCTTAAATGCTTTAGTAGAAGTAAAAAAGAAAAATAATCATTTATAACTACTCCCCCTCTGCCAGGCTACAAAAGAAAAAGAAGCTCTCCTGAAGAAAGAGGAAAATTGCTTTGCAGATCCATGGGTGATCTGAAATTGGAAGCTTGGACAGCTACCAGTATTTGTTTGAGGAGGTGTGAGGATTTCTGATGTGAGTGGGGCTTGGACTAAAGGCTCTCATACAACAATTTGATTCTATAATTCTATTTTATCCAGGATCTTCCCAGACAATCCAGATGTACTTTCCATAACAGCTCAAGATTACAGTGTCAGTCCTGGAGGCCATCTTTTTCTTTGGATCTTTTTATTGGGATAATCAGCCCTTTATCTTTGATGCCACATGCACAGTTTTGTTTCTAGGTTACCTTTGGGAGGATTTGCAGAAGGTGCGTCAGATCCCTCAGTTGACACGTGGTATTGGAAGCTACCAAGCAGAGAATAAATTTGTTGCTATCATGCTTGGGTCTGTAGTGGGAGGAAAGCAGTGGGAATGGAGTTTCTCTTATCTCTGTTGGTCAGAAAGTGACTGGATCATCTCAGGCACATATGGATACTGAGGAGGACAGAATTCCTCCTCCCAACCCCCAAGATGGGTGGGCAATTAATTTTCCCAAGGGGTTCCCACCAAAAAGAATATAACAAATAGAAGACTTTTGTAAAACTATAAATAAGCAGTGATATTTACTCTTTCCAGTCAAGATTTAACATGTTTTTAATTTGATTTTATTCTTTCAAGAGAACTATGAATATGTCTTGATTACCCTCTTTCAAACTATTTTCACAATACCAGTAGCAGTCATTTTGCAGACCAGTGAAAAAGAAATAATAAGAATTCAGTACATATTTATTTTAATCTTGCTTTTATTATTTTATAATAATAACTCAGGGTGGCAAACATATCCAACAAAACCTCCTCCTATTTTCCCCACAAGAACAGCCCTGTGAGGTAAGTTGGACTGAGGTATGCAGCTGCCTTGCATGGCTAAGGCAGGACTAGAACTCACAGTCTCCTGGTTTCTAGCCTGGAACTTTAACCACTAGACCAAACTGGTTCTCCATTGCGCTAATATGGGAGAAGAGAATTATCTAAACTAAATTGAACTGAACTGAACTAAACCTGCAAAGAAAACGTGTTTCTGCAGGGCAACAAAGATGCTAACCCTATTTTGCTGATTTAACCATTAATTTTATATTTTCCATCTCATTTAATTAATTAAAATATGATTATATATTTTATCTAGAACTTTATGACATTGAAATAATCCCCCCCTTTTTTGTCTTTTTCATACTCTTTGTTTTCTTTATTGAAAAGTCTTACTGAAAGAAACCTCCAATTCTGAAATTTTGTGGAAAATCATGTCATATTCTTTTATGAGCATATTCATTACTACAGAAACTACTAATTCTGAACAGATTAACATACAAGACTGGACATTTATACTTATTTTTGCTTTGCTTTTCTATCCCAAATTTGTAATACATTTTTTTTTAGGTTGAGAGATTCCCATTTTCCTATCCTTGCATTATCCATTCTGGCCAGCAGGCGGTGCAGCATCTCCGTATACATGGTATTCTGCATTTGTCAGATGGAATTGAATAATTTCTTCCAGTCATCATTGAGGTTTTAAAGGACACTTGCGGGATTATGGGACTGATATTGTCAAATCAGAGGGAAACACAATCATCTGACTGCAGGGATTCTGTAACTGCTACAATTTCAAAGGCTGGCCGCTCGTCTCCTTTTTTAGTACCCTTTTAAATTTGAACAAGTGATTGGTAAGTGAGTGCTACCTTAATGGAGATAAGCATGCATTTAATCTCTTCTTCTCAAACATGCATATTTAAAAGAATACATTTTAAATTTCTGTGTACCTAGAATAGAGATCCGGAAATACATTTACAGGAATCATGCTGAATATATGAAGAAGAAGCAAGCTTTTGTGGCTGAGGAAACATACTTGGTATGTATGGAAAACAGGAGAACAATGACAAAAAGAAGACAACCGCATGGCTAAAATAGACTTTATATTGATTAAAATTTTCAACTAAGGGTAATAAGAAATATGTTTTGTGGGATGTAGATGGGTGAAAAAAAGAAGATTACTTTGGATTGATATTGTCTGAGATACGATTACAAACCGGGGAAAAAAATTGGATATTTCAGAAATAATGTTAGTTGAAGTTCTGTGACATTTAGAAACGGAAATTTTACACCAGATATATTTAGATTAACATTTTCAGTTAGCTCCAAAATTTAGCTCATCAAACTGAGTATGGATTTTTTTTTTTTACTTCAACCAATCTTAGATGGTAATTGTGAACTTGAAATGGGAATTGGGAGGAACAAGAAAGACAAGAGCAGCGGTGAAATCCTCTGAAGTCTGCTACCGGTTCTGTAAGTCTGCCCTCACAGCACTAAAAAAGGAACATTTTGAAACCTTTCAAATCTGCAAATGTAAGTAGAACAGCGAAGGGGGGAGGAATCCGCTGTGCCATGCAATTTAGATTAGCTAGAAAGCAGGAAATCTGACAATTCTAGCTAATATAAATTGTGCGTCACATCTGATCGTTTCCGAGCTGATCATTGGAAATACCAGTTTGCCCGAACCGGTAGCATTTTTTACTACTGATTCGCCCAAACCAGTCCAAACCAGTAGCATTTCACCCCTGGACAAGAGGAGGAGGAAGGGGAAGAGCTTAAATTGTTGACTTGTAACTTGATTAACATCTCCCTTTCCCCCTTCCTCAGCCACTTCAATATTGCTTCCACTTCTTTCCTCTTCCACCAAGGATCCTCTGTTTGTGAACCCAAGAGAAACATCCATCCCTATGATTCAGCTCCTTCTGAAGAAGCAGCCGGAGCTAGTCCAAGAATGCAATGAGTCACTTCAAGGTGGTGAGCCAATTCTGACAAGTTTCACCTCATTATTGGAATCCCAACTGCAAGATGAGGCTGAAGGTTTTCTGAAAAACACATCCATCATTACCAAACCATTTTCTTTAAAGACATTTTGCTAAGCACTGGTAATTTACCACTGGGAATATGGGAGGTGCAAGCACCTTTGCACTGTTGGAGAAAGAATGGGAGCTACTGTGAGCATTAGGAAATTCTCAGGCTCAGAAGGCTGAGAATGAGGTTAAAGAATATTGCAAGGTTGAAGGGGGGGGGAATCTTTTTCTCAGATGGTATACATCTTAAGGGTTGAAAAAATCTGAAGTCTATAACTTCTTCTGCTTTAGTTCTCTTTTTTGTCCACGGATATCCCAAAGGATAAGTTACACATGAATTTTTCTATCCTAAAAACTATGAAAAAAGCCAATCCTTTATTATACCACCATTAAGTAATAACAACAGAATGACATACTTGCCAGCATCAACATTTTGATTTGCTGGTAATGATAAAAACTAGGGCAGCATGCTCTCTATTGGTAAAGAAAGACATAATACTTTCACTATATCTCTCCCTCCTTTCTTTGATAGACCCTTGATGAATTGCCCATTCTTTTTCATTACATGTATCTTTGTTCTAACAGCTATCCTAACATAATAAGCAAAATGGAGGGAAATAGCAATAGCACTTAGACTTATGTACCATTTCACAGTGCTTTTACAGCCCTCTCTAAGCTGTTTACAGAGTCAACATATTGCCCCCAACAATCTGGGTCCTCATTTTACCCACCTCGGAAGGATGGAAAGCTGAGTCAACCTTGAACTTGGTGAGATTCGATCTGCCAAACTGCTGGCAGCCGGTGATCAGCGGAAGTAGCCTGCAGTACTGCACTCTAACCACTGTACCACCGCGGCTCTCTGGGGTGATGAAATGGGGAATGCCATCCTTGGCATTTCTAGACTCAACATAACCATGGAACTGCTTGCTCACATCCATTGTATTTCCATGTGAAATCCACTCTGGAATTGCTTTGAGTGCAAAACTAAAGCAGTACATAGTGGGCATAGCTGTCATATCTTAACTACACTATAAGAAACTCCTTTATCTCCTGTGGAAAAGAGATGAAATATGAAATCAAGAAATCAGAAAGATTCCAAAAGTGTGGACTTTGGTTTTCCTAGCTCTCTCTCTGTACCTTTTTTCATCCTTTTTCAAATAGTCAATAAAATTCAAATGCCACAACTGATTTTCGTCAGTTACCTAAAGTCTTTCAGTTACAGAACATGGGATAAACTATGCAGTTCCCAATTCTGTTTGAACAGCAGCAGAAGAAATTTGTGGTGACTTAGGAAATCAAAGCCCCTTATCTCATCCTCAATGAAGCTCACCTTCAAATAGAATATATGTAGCTCAGGGTGGAATTGTGGAGTCATTTGTGCTCTCCAAGCTTGGTTATTTGCTATAGATTTTTCAATATGCTATTACTGATGATATTATCTAGTTGGGTAATGAAACATCTGCAAGCAAACAACCAAACTCAGAGAGTACTAAGGATTCTAAAAGTCTTCTTTCCTTTATACTCTCAGCAAACTATTTCATTGTGGCCCACGCAAAAAGGAAGGCATCCCTTTCTAAGATTTCAAATGCATCTGTTTTCTCCAATACATTCATTGTCTTAATTTGCATGGTTGCTAATGGCTTGTTCTTACCTCTTGTATAATCTTTCCAGAAATTAATTAATTTAACTTTTTATCTTGGATTTTCTACATCCCCTTTTCACAGACTACAGATCCAAACTTTCACTGTTGTAGGTCTAACCACCAATTTATCACTCTCTCCCACAACATGCTTTTGCAAGATCCAAACTGATTTCTTTGGAACATGCAAAAGAACATCAGGTTTTCTGGGATCTCTGCCCATTTCAGTACTATAGCCTCAGGTGTCCTATAAACTTAATTGCTGAGAACAGAATCCAGATGTTGAACAGGCTGTAGTCAAAACAAGTCTTTTGGCAAGATGCAAGAGCAGGCTAGAAGGAGGATTTTCATCTTCAGATTTTTACTTTAGAACTTGGACCATATCACTGTCCAGACAGATGCTGTAGAAACAGTTTAATGATTGGGTAGATGTATGGGGGTGGGATTTGGCTCAGAAAGGGTGGCCTTAAAAGCCTTTATATTGTTAACAGTTCTACTGGTCTCTCAATTGTCCATATTTGGAGAGCAGACTTTCATTTTATTTATTTTTTTAAAAGCAGGATAATTGCTATCACCTTTGGCAACTTTTCCCTGAACCTTACAATACTTGTTCCCATCTGCCAGAAACTTCCAACTGGATGTGTCTTCTCTGATCGTTCTTAAATGTTTTCTACATTTTGTCTTAAATTGTCTGGTCCCTATAGTTTTGAATATTACAAATCCTTTGTTGGATTTGTTATCTAGGCCTGGGAAATGGATAAAGCAGGAACATGGCTTAGATAAACCATTCTTCCAGTTCTGCCAATACACTTTATTTATTTTTTTTAATTGAGGCAGGGAAATTAGCCTGGAATTCTGCTATAACCTCTATAGCCTCCTTCATTTTTTCTTTCCTGCTGGGCTGCTGAAGAGTAGCAGTCAGCTAGAAGAGATGGGGTTTATTTCTGGTATGTTCCCAAAGCAATTTTTGATTTGGGACATTGAAATGGCAGATAGGACCCATGACAAGTGATATTGATGTTGGTGAAACAAACCAACATCAGGTTTCCTGGAAGAGCAGAGATGTTGGTGGCTACAATAACTGTGGTGATTAGTAGGATAGGGCATTGGCAATTATCTAGTTCTGTTGGATCTCAGTAATGCAGGGCCTGAGAAATTGGTATCTTTATTGAGAGTTGTGTTCTCTGAGGAATAATTTGGTGCAGGCTGCATGCTAAAGGTAGGCAAACAGAATAATGAAATACATTAATAATTGGGAATTCAGTCTACATCAAGATTCAAGTGGCCTCTAGGGTAGAAGAATGGGAAAAGCCACCAGTTGCCCTGGATCTCAAACACGACGTATTTTCATCTCACTTCTCTTGAGGGAATAGTAGAAGCCTTTCCACTGGTACCAGTTAATGCCATTGGCATAAGACAGATGTGGTCCACCAAGGTAGAAGCCATTGAGGTTGGAAAAATGGCAGCTCTTGAACCACCAGGCACCTGATGACAGACCTGCACAGTTCTGCACATAGAGATCTTGGTCACGGTCAAATGTGGAGAACTTCTGGCCACTGTGATATGACAATGAATCACCTGGTGGAAACATCAAGTGAAATAATGGTAAAAAATGAGACTTCATGAAGCTGGTAAGAATAAGGAGTAGTGTCCTTGCTTGTATATTTGAGAGTAGATCCATTGGAGCCCAAGTATACTGGACATGGATTGCTGGCACTGGAATGTTTTCATGCACATCTCATAATTTATGTTTCAAGATTGGACGGAACATGCTGTAAAAATCTTTTAAATGACTTCTAATTTCCCCATAATATACTCTGATCCCATATAACAAGATACAGAGTAAAACATCTGTCTTAGGGAAAGAAAAATTTCTGGCTGCTATAAACATCTTGTTAAGTCACATATGGGTTTATGTTAGTATTTGGACACCTCTGGCTCAGAAGGGTTTTGGAAATTATAGACCCAATTGATCAGAAGGACAGCAAACTGAGAATTACTATCTATATATTAGGCTGAGGACAAATACCATCTTAGTATTCATGATAATACACAGATCCAAATTGATCCTACCTAAATGTCTGATTACCAAGTTTGAAACGACCATGCTTTCCATCTTTTAAAAAAAGACAGCTGCAAATGTGTCACAACTATCATATTGTAAATAGGGTTTCCTACCCTCATTTTGAGATTCAGTCTTACTCCATTTGGTACTCAAATGGGATTGAGGACCTGTTGTCTCTTACCTGCCCCTCCATCAGTAAACCCAGATACATGGAGCGTGTAGCCATCCTCTTCTGCACTGATTGCATTTGGGGAAAGGGAGAAGTCAGCATATTTGGCAAAGGCGGTATTATTATCAAAGTCATCCAGCTCCACACGAAGCTCATACTTCTGCTTCAGGGTGAGAAGGTGGATATTTTGCAGACCTAGACCAGGTGGGAATAGAAAATCATTTGTGGGCACATCGTTATGGTGCCTTGGGAAGAAGTCCAAAGCACCTCCATTTATTTTCCTACCCTTTGGGGATGACCCCCATTCTCTTAACAAAAAAGTACTGGCCAGACAGAAAAGCAAGACAATTCTTGGCTGTGCTTGCTGGCCTAGACTCATAATAAACAGAGCAATTGCACTTCATGATGTAGTTTTCTGGCCCAGGTTTCAGCTGCTTAGGGGAGAAACCCAAACATTTTACATTCCAAACGTTTCTGGCAAAAGGAGATGTCTGGATCAAGAGATGCATAAAATTATGAGACTGGGAAGAAGCCAGTGAGGGAAAGGGTGGGAAAAATCAAGGGCTTTTGGCAGAGGCTCCTCAGAGAGGAGGAGGAAAAGGAGAAAGAAAAAAAGGAGGAGAAGAAGAAGAAGAAATTTTCTTTATCCGTTCATACTTACCCAGCCAATATTCACCATCTGCTTTGCCAAAGCCAAACTTGTAGTCATTCCATCCCCGAAAGAAACTGATTGACCCATTGAAGCGTTTCTGGAAAACCTGCAAAGTATAAGAGTTTTGAGGAAAGACAATTGTTAAATTAACATCAATTTGTCAACAGTTACCCTGAAGCTTCATTCCTGTCAACACCATGGAAAGGAAATAATCAAGGACATTATACATTATGCTAAAACATGGTTAATTGTATAAGCCAAAATGATTCATACACTATGCTAAGCCTTACTCTTAACAGCCTTGGTTTAAGCATACACACAATTCGTCCCCTTCCGATTTTAAATGCATATTTGCTTGTTTGACTTCTAGTCCTTATATCCACTTTTCCATGCTGGACACTATCTCACTTCTACATTGACTAACAAGACAAGAAAAAGTATTGAATTGGTTATATCTGTAGAAGGATGGTGTTCTTTTGTGATTTTTGTGGCCTACATCCATAAACAGGAAGACACTACACAAAATGTGTGTTCCTGGTTAATCCTAAATGTTCTGATGTTCAAATTAAGGAGTGAAAAGTTTCACATGAGACACAGATACCTTGGCCTCATGAAAAAGAGTAATGTAGAACCTGGATTGGAAAGATCCAGAGTCGTAACACCATTTGACATTAGAGCTCAATGAATTATTTTTGCCAATTCCTCTCTTCTGGTCCAATTTATTTGGCAGGAGTCTGTGGCAATAAAATGACACACCCTTCCATATTTATTGTCTTGAACACCCAGGGGAAAAAATGCTTGCAATATAAATACTTCAAATTTCTTAAAGCTTTATATAGAGCAATATCAGCACCATAAATGATACTGAAAGTACAACTAGAGAACAGGCCAAGATCAAAGAAATGGAAGTTTTAAGAACTTCCACCAAACAAGCATGGAACAGCCACTACTAATCTAACCCAGTTCTAGGATCTCTTTTGCTTCCATAGGATACACTTTCCCATATTGGATCCATCCCAGGGATTTCATTACCGTCCACTTTCCATCATCAGTGGTCATGTCACAGTACACGGGGACAGGGACACTGGGTCCTGCTGGAAAGATGAGGTACACGCCATCTGTTTCTGAACCTTGATCATATATGTCCTCACAGTCAAGTGGAAAGGAATCTTCTCCACAGGGTTGAGATTGCTGAGCTGTCCCAGTTTGAAGAAAAACATATTACTTTAAATTTAAATAACCAATCAAGCATATGACATTACTTTGGCTTCTGATTGACCATTTTGCTTTAAAGCAGAGCTGTCCAAGTCAATAATTATAAATCTGTTGCTGTTATTATTTTACAAATATCATGATTCTTTTGTTCAAAATCACCTTCTCTTTGGACGAAGTGACATTTCTGAGAATAGCTTAAAAAGCTAAGAAATAAATAAAAATACTACATTTTGTTAATCGAAATTTTGATTTTTTTCTTCAAACTTCATATTAAAATTTATATATATTTCAGTAAATATTTGTCCAAATTTAGACACATTTTTGACATTCACCCAATGCAAATAGATTTTATAATTTTCATTACTGATTTTTTTGGGGAGGATATTACTTTAATAAATATATGCATTTCAATGCAGTCTTTGCTGTCACATATAGTATATGTATATTGATTTTGGAGATTTGGGGGCAACTGAAATTTTGGACATGTTAACTTTAAATGTGCAATGCAGGTTTGTTATATAAAATTAGATTGTTTTGTCATTCAGAAATGATCTGAATGAATTTGTATGTGATCTGCTTGAGATTTGTTCAGGGGAAGTTAATGATTACTTTTAGATAGCTTGAATCTATAAAGTTTCTGAATTGTAGGCATCCAGATTTTCCAGATCTTTCCAAACAAAGATTGTATGATATGCTCCAAACCTACCTAAATACTTCCCAAACCGTTAGTCTGAATTTCTCATGCTAATCATACAGTGATTAAGTCACTGAAGACCCTGACCAGGTGAGTTTCAATGTCACCCCATTTCTCCAGGCACCTGCATAAGGGATAACAATTTTCCTTTCTGGATAAATTTTTAGATGTATACTTATTTCTCTTTATTCCTCTGAAACAGGTGTTTATAGGTTGTGGGGATTGTGCATATGTGCCTGTAACTAAAAGACACCAAGCATGAAAAGCTCTCAACATTCATATAAGCACCTTCTAGCCAAGAGACCTATTAAGGAATTGTTTTAGTTATTATCTCTGTCAAAAGCCACTCTTGAGAGAGCAGCTAGGGATAGCAAGCAATGATCTTTAAATTGTAGTAACTGCCATTAACTAAGGCTTTTCTAGACATTCTTCCATACATGGGAAGCTATTTGTTCAGCCTTCCACTACAATTTAAACAATATATGTGGAGGAAAAAAGATATCAGCTAACAGATAGAAAATCGTTAAAGAGACATCCAATCTAGAACTAAGGAGAAATTTCCTGACAGTGAGAACAAATAATTGATGGAATGGCTTACCTCTGGAAGTTGTGGATGCTCCATCACTGAAGATTTTCAAGAAGAGATTGGACAGCCATTTGTCCAGAATGATACAGGGTCTCCTGCTTAAGCAGGGTGTAGGACAGTCACTAGAGACTTCCAAGATCCCCATTATTCTATGTTCTATGAAATATTCTGCCTATTATAGTAGGATCATCTGACATTACTTGAGACTCACAAACATATAGTAATTTCATCCTCTAACAATAACATTACTAACAGAATGGTTATTGGGAAAGAAGAAAACAGTGGACAGCAATATCCTAAAAGAGCAGGCTGGTCAGTTGTAACCCTATAATATTTTGTTACAAAGGAAAGAGTGTGATAAAATGCCACAAAGGCTAGATGTTATTGACTTCATTCAAATTATATTCTTCTTCCAATGGTATATATGGGATAAGATACTCTGATTTATTATCCCAATACATTACTGATGATGTGAGTTTGGATAGTAATGACAGAAATTTTCAGTGCATCTTCTGTGCTAATAGCTCATAGCTCAAGGCTGACACTCTCCATTGCCAAGGAGGCCAAGCAAAAAAGATTCTGCCTACTGAATGGTCAGATAAGAGACAGCATAGCCTACAGTTCCATAATAGGAAGTGTAAGAGGCTGACGAGGGATCCTTCCTAAGTTATCAGGCTGTAATGGAGATGGCAAGAGAATTGTACTTGCAGATTTCTGTTAATATAGCTTTACACTAAAGTAGAAGTAGCTTATCCTGTCTTGTTTCCTCTCTGGTCCACTTGGTAAGGTTGACCCCATTACACCAGAGATGGGATTTTTCCATTCTTGCAGATTAAATCACCTGAGCAATCAGATCGATGTTTATGGTCCCTTCACTATCTGAGGTATGAAGGCAATAATAGCAAGAAAGCTTTTTCTACCATAGGATAGATGCTCCAGTGTCCTCTTCAAGCAGGCCACTGACTCCATAATTAGTGCCCACTCAGTGGTCAGAAACAGGATTTTCTAAAAGACTTTCAGATAAATGCAAACACATAGCTTAAATCTCTTCATCTTTTGTTTTTTTTTTTCCAAAATTTTTTCCAAACCCAAGATAGATTTGTGTGTTTCTTTTGAAATAATTATTCAGTTGATGAATTAACATTGTTCTGCAGTATTGATTAGGAATCTTCCAGATATAAAGATAGGATATTTATATTGTAACATATAAAGTAAACTGTGCAAAGGATTAATATGGAAGTAAGGGGACAGGACAATCACAGCTCAGTCAATTAATATTTGTATTGCATGGAAGAAAGGTCCTGTTGGAACATTTCAACATTTCTCCAGTTAATAGGCAGCATATGATCAGCCAAGTCTCCCCTTGGAAACCTGGAACACAGTTTTTAAAGTAGCCATTTCTGGACTAGATGGACAACAGACCTGACACTTCTTGTGTATTTCAAGATTCTATATACTGCATTGTAAAAATAAAGAAACATACCATCCAAGAAACATTATTGTGGTATATATCTGTGGTGGTGCAGTGGTTAGATTGCAGTGTTGCAGGATAATTCTGCTGATTGTCAGCAGTTTGATTCACACCAGCTGACTCAGCCTTCCATCCTCCCGAGGTCAGTAAAATGAGGATCCAGATTGTTGGAGAAAATATGCTGACTCTGTAAACCACTTAGAGAGGGCTGTAAAGCACTATGCAGTGGTATATAAGTCTAAGTGCTCTTGCTATTTTGGATATTCCAGAACACTGTCTTTAACTATGGTGAGATGATCTTATGATTAAAAAGTAAACAATGCTATAATATAAGCCAGGTTGGGCTAGTTGCAAGCCACAAATGACCTCCCAACATGAGACTTTCTGGCTAACTGGAAGCAGTATATTTTTCTGTCCAATTTGATTGCAAACAGCTGTTCAGAAGCTGAAAAGATAATTTAAATGCTTGTTTGTGTCTTTTGTGCTTGCTTGAACATGGACTATGTTTTGATGTTCTTCATTTATTGTTAAATGGCTCAGTCTGCTCGGCAACCTAATGCTGGCCCAGATTTTTTTTAGAAAAAAAAATATGTATGCAAAGGGCAGCTCTGGCAGTGAAAGTTTATCTGTCTAGAAATGTTTTAACAAATGGACTTGGCTGATCTCAGAAGCCATGTAGGGTCAGTCCTGATTAGTATTTGGATCGGGAGGATTATGAAATGCCATGTCTGTTAGCTAGATTAGGAAATAAAAGAAACCACAAAAAACAGCAAACTTCCATAATGCTGCCAAAAAGCTTCACAGTCAGAATCACCAAGAATTAAGCTTGACTTGAGCATTTCTTTAGTTTTTAGCACAAATGATCTACTTAATAGTAGAGGAAGGTGCTTTATACTGAGTTTTACCAATGACATTAATATACTTGAGACAGTGTAAATGGCCATAGTTTTAAGACTCTTAGTTGAACCTATAAACTTTAGAAAATAAACTTGGTTGTTGTACAGCTGATATACAACCATAAGAGCCGTGTTAGTTAGAATGCAGTACTGCAGGCTACTTCTGCTGACTCCCAGCTGCCAGCAGTTTGGCAATTTGAGTCTCACTGAATCAATGTTCAACAGCCTTCCATCCTTCTGAGGTTGGTAAAATGAGGACCCAGATTGTTGGGGGCAATATGCTGAACTCTGTTAAACCACTTACAGAGGACTGTAAAGCACTGTGAAGTGGTATATAAGTCTAAATGCTACTGCTATTGCTAAAGGAATGTATAATGGCTGGGGGTTCCATGACAGACAATACATAAACTTAACATGCACTCCTAGTTCAGTCACTAAATGGCAGGAAAGAGATAGAAACGTTTCTATATTGTTGATGCTGTCTAGGAGTCATCAGTATTTTTTCAACCCATATCCAATAAGGAATGGAACAACTTGCCATGGCCAACTCACCATGGCCAACTCACTACGGGACAGCTCACCATGGGACAACGTGCTGCAGGACAATTTAACAATTCTATTTAATTATTTAAAATAAATTAAAAATGATTTTTATTTTTGTCATTCACATTTTATTCTATCCCTCCTTTTGCATCCTTGTTAATTATTCTATTCCACAAGTCTCATGGCAAGTTGGCCATGGCAAGTTGGCAGTGGCGAGTTGACGTGGTGAGTTGGCCTTGGCAAGGTGGACATGATGAATTATCATAGACCCCATCCAAGTACTGGTACAATTTTCTGGCAATACTGCACTCCCAGGAGAGCTCCTGAGCTGCTGCCCTTTCTCCTTGACATAAACTTGTGAATGCAAAGCCCAAGCATTGGAACACATGAAATCCTGAAGTCTTCAACTGATGAGTCACATTAGAATGGAGATCCAGTTTGGTATAGTGGTTAAAGCATCAGGTTAAAATCCAGGAGATCATGAGTTCTAGCCTGCCTTAGGGACAAAACCAGTAAGGTGACCTTGGGCCAATCATTTTCTCTTAGCCTTAGGAAGTAAAACATTTCTGAAACCTTGCCAAGAGAACTCATGGAAGTTTCTAGTCAGTCACTAATATAGATTGTCTTGAAGGCACAAAAAATAAGTTAATGTATGAAGAGGCATTTGTCTATATTGACAAGCAGATTTTCATGTTTCCCCAAAAATAAGACATCCCCTGATAATAAGCCCAATTGGGCTTTTGAATGCATGTGCTAAAATAAGCTTCCCCCTGGAAAATAAGGCCTCCCCAAAAATATTTAAACACAGAGCTGGAAATCAGGTAAGGCGGCAAAATAATGTGCTCCAAAATAATAAGACCTCCCCAAAAATAAGGCCAAGCACTTATTTTGGGGTTCAAAAAAATATAAGACAGGGTCTTATTTTCGGGAAAACATGGTAGATAAGAATTCTTTCTTGTCCAATCTTAAAGATGACTAAAATTACTTTATCGAAAGCTGGTGTCATGCCTTCTTTCAGGTGACATAATATGGAATGAGCATTTAGAGGATGAATATGTGCCATAAATTAGTCTCAAGAACACTTACCTGAGTTGATGGCCTGTCCTTGCAATGTCGGCAGCTGAAGAAGTAAAAGTAGGAACAAAGAGATGGGCAAAAATGAGGAGGCCTGAGAAAGCTAAAAAAAAAGGGCATGACTTGTCATCCATGGTACATAGTGAGGAAAGAGGCATTTTATTATTAATAATAATATAATTATCATTGTACTATAAAGATCTGCAAATAGAAGTAGAATGAATGTGGCAAAGGAAAGCAAAGGTATTACAGATAGGAAACTTGGATGCAATTCCAAAATATCTGGAACATTACTTGAACACTATCAGCATTGACATAATCACTATCAGTTAATTGCAGAAGGCAGCTTTTCTTGGAACAAGTTCCATATTGCAACAATACCTTCATTATTACTATCCCAGGTTCTTGGGAAGGACTTGATGGATGGACAAAAATGCCAAACGTAATGTAAATATCTGTCTGACTGTGTGGCCAACCTAATTATAATATAGAGTATATTCTGCCCAATTCCCAGCAACTTCTTCTGGCTTGGAAAGACACTGTCCTAATACATTTGGCATTGTCTACCAAGAAAAATAAAAATAGAAGTCTGTCATGTGTACTTAGTTTGCCCAGGTTTATTTACATTGAACTTTCCTTTTGGTCATTTTCACATTAAATATTACAATGGCAAAAGATAAAAATCAGACTTTGCTGTCTCAAATGAAAAATGTGAATGGACATTTTCTTGGCCTCAGAAGCTTGTTGAGGGGCTAACAAACTTCTTTGCTAATGATAATATGAACTCTAGTGCTCAAAATTTTATAGCAATATATGATAGGAAGAAAAAGAGAGAAATGGATTCACTGATTGAAAATAGAAAAATATTTGGAAATATATCACAACATAAACCTGGTAGTTGAAACTTGAAAAGTGGCCTACATATGTATTAGTCAAAGCAGTGCCTGTAGAAGGAGCAAAAGGAATCAGGTTAATGAAAGTGGCCTTGCCTTGGTGCAATACAAACCCTGCCCCTTTTGTAAATGTCTTGCAATTTTGCATGCTTGCTCCACAGGGAAAGATCTTACAGTATGGTGCTGGAATGCAGCTTTTGTCATTGTGAGGCAAGCAGCAAAAAACGTGGATGCTGGTGGAGAACATGATTTAGAGACATTAGCTCATGATAACTGGCCTAATGTTCAGGTCACAAGAAGCACTATTAAGATTCAGAAACTGGCAAATAGATATTTTTCAGTCTGATAGAATAGAATAGAATAGAATAGAATAGAATAGAATAGAATAGAATAGAATAGAATAGAATATTTTATTGGCCAAGTATGATTGGACACACAAGGAATTTGTCTTGGTGCATATAATCTCAGTGTACAAAAAAGAAAATGATCCAACATTAATTAATATTTGTTAGTTCCCAAAGTGGGAGAATTAGAACGAAAACTCTAAAGTTCATCTACCATTATTCATTTTCTCCTTAATTTTGATAATCTATCAACAATCCGCATGGCAGACACAAGTTTAGATAGAAACTTTAGTGTACGCTGTTGTTTTTCTTGGCCTCAGAATTTTCTTTTGGCCTATGGCCTAACATCGAGGGGAAAAATGCATCACAGGAACATTTTAACTAGATTTGCCAATTTGTTGAACGTGGTCATGTCCCAGTTACTTACTTTTTAAATAAAATGTTTATATAATCTGGTTTGCTGCTGTTGTTATTACTGTCTGTTTTGTTTTAAAGCTTGTGAATTTGCATCTAGGTATATATCTGCTTTTCTGGGAATATACACTGTATCCTTACTGAATGAAGAACCAATGAGGAAGAAAGTGGAAATTAAAATGAAGAATTACATATAGTTAAACTGCATTTATACTTTTATTTGAAGCTCTGACTTATAGTGGTCAGGTAATTCTCAACTTATGACCACAATTGAACTCACAATTTATGTTGCTAAGTGAGAAATTTGTTAAGTGAGTTTTGCTCCGCTTTATGACTTTTCTTGCCATGTTTCTTAAGTGAATCGCTGAAGTTGTTAAATTAGTAACATAGTTGTTAAGTGAATCTGGTTTTCCCATTGACTGCTTGTCATAAGGTTACAAAAGGGGATCATGTGGCCTCCAGATACTGCAACTGTCATAAATGTGAGTCAATTGTCAAACATCCAAATATAGATCAAGTGACCATGGGGATGCTGCAACGATCATAGATGTGAAAAAAGGTCATAAGTCACTTTTTCAATGCCATTGTAACTTTCAATGGTCATTAAGTGAACTGTCGTAAGTTGAGGACTACCTATATAGCAGTGTTTCTCAACCTTAGCAACTTGAAGATGTGTAGACTTAGACTCTCAGAATTCCCCAGCCAATTGAAGTCCACACATTTTTAATTTGCCAAGGGTAGGTAATACTGTTGCATAGTGTTGCTCACTCTTTCATTAATGTATTTAAGATTGCAGCCAAGCTGTTAAAGAAACTATGTGGAAATCATAGCTCATCCCTAGAATACCTGCAGTGACATTTGCAAACAAGCAAAGAGCAACGTATATGAAAAATGTGAAGAAGTCCTTTCTGTTTCCACGTCATGTCCCCCAGCTAACCCTCCAAGCATTTCTTGTTTAGGGCATCACATGTTGACTAGGAAGCAAGTAGCTAACCTTGAGTTTGATACAGGAAAGCTGTCTGCAATAAACAGTATCCTACTTGAAACTGGGATGATAGTCTCCATTCCTGATGAAAATATGCAGAGGCTCATGCAAAATATGGGCCAGCAAAAGACCTGGTCTTATTTCCATTTTGGCCCCAAAATAAGCACCAGGTTTTATTTTCAGGGGATGTCTTACCCACTTACCTTAGGACCATTGCAGCCACGCCTCCTGTGCCTTGACACTTATCATGCCAGTGCCTCCGTGAGTAGAAGGAGGCTACATGATGTGTTGTGGCATTGCATGTGTGAGTGGTGGCACCAGCGCAACAAGCATTGTGGCATTCTGCCATGAGTGGTGGCACTAGTGCGACGAGTCTTGTAATGTTGTGCCATGAGCGTCAGCACGAGCTAGCATCCGCTGCAAGCAGCTGCAGAAGTCGAGCAAGTGTCTGGGCATGGGAGGCCTGGCTGCAGCGGTCCTAAGGTAAGCAGGTGCTGGGCACATGGGGTAGCTCCATCCCACCTATCCCCACCCTGGCTTGATTTTTACATCTGCACCTCGCCCCACCTCATACAACCATATGGTGGGTGGGGCTTAACTAGGGCTTATTTTTGGGGTAGGGTTTATATTAGGTGTGTGAAAATCAGGCTACGGCTTGTTTTCAGGGTAGATTGTATTTTCGGGAAAACATTTTGTGTGTGTGTGTGTGTGTGTGTGTGTGTGTATAAAAGCTGCTTGATTTCTGTATTGTAACAAATTGTTTTCCTTCATATCCAAGATAGTGGAATTACAAGGGTTAATTGATCTAATTAAGTCAGATGTGCTCCTTGCTGATCTCTAGTATGTCTCTGTTCATGTACCTTCAGATAGATAGATACATAGATACATAGATAGATAGATGAGAGAGAGAGAGATGTAATATAGATGTTGGATCTAAAGGGACTACATATAGTTATAATAATATAGAGATAGAAAGATAGAGATAGAGATGATAGAGATATCCATACTGTAATTCATACAATCATCTTGGCTCATCTTCATTTTTTAAAATAACCTGCACTTTCTCATTCTGCCCATTTCTTGTTGATCATTTTTTTCTGTGAAAATTAATATTCCCTTATCTCTTTTCACATGTAGGGAATCAGGGCAGTTTTCCTCTCCTCCTCTCCCAATAATTTTGCAAAGCATTTTGTATGAAATGGTTCACTTCATAGAATCCTATTAAGTACTCATTAAATATTGATAAGGTTTACCCTGCTCAATTAGCCCTTGTAATTCCACTATCTTGGATATGAAATGGAAACCATTTCTCTCCTTTGTTACAGAACAAATATAAATAGCTAAGCAGTCCATGGTTCAAGGTGTCTTTGTTGGAAAGCAATCCCTTAATAGTATTACAGATAGAGAAAGTAAACATCCCTTTGTTTAAAAAATCAACTTCATGATAGGGAAAACAAATGCCAGGATTTAAGAAGACAAGGACATATCAAAAGAAAAGTCTATTTCATTTAGCATTTTACTTCCCTACAATGGCCGAACAGAATTATTCAAGAATCTTTTAGCGAAATCTTTGTCGCATCTACCATACATTGTTTTGGGAGGATATCTTTATTGATGTGTTAATTTTATATCCTTCCAGCAATACAGGGCACCTCACAGAAGGATCTTCCTCCATTTAATCCACAAAGCTATAACTTGGTGTGGTAGACTGGCCCAAGAGAAAGAGACTGGCCAAAAGTTACCCAGTGAGATTTGATGGCTGAAGATAGACATGAATCTCTCAAGTCTTAATCTTAGTCAAACACCATAACCACTCCACTTTGCTGGGTCTCAGTTTACCACATTCAGCCATCATACCTAAAAGCTGGCTTTCACCATTTCTTATAACTGCAAATTCCATTCATCACATATGACATTGAAATAGAACATTACAAACATTAATTTGATTGAGAGTGAGGAGAGAATACAAAGTTCCAACTTGAAAAAAAAAATCAAACCTTATTTCACAGCCTAATTCACCTCCCCTCCAAAAATATCTGTTGCTCCAAACCTTCAGATTCTTCATTGTCTTACTGTACCTTCATGTTGTTCTGTGGTTCCTGAGCTATCACTCCTGTTGCTCTCTGTATAGGACTTTCTGTTTTCTTTTGAAGCTGCTTCTTCCAGTCTCCTTTGCAGGCCTTTAGCTATACACCTCCCACCCACACTGCTGCCTGCCCACTAACATACCCCAAGCCAAGGAACAGACATGATGTGTAAATCCTGGATTTATAGCCCAAAGAGAAGTCACAGGGTTGGGAGGGGAAGGGGGGGCAAGAATGTGTTATAGAAAAGCAAGGCAGGAAATGAAAAATTGGAGAGAAGAGGGGAAACACAGAACAAGCCAAGAGCTAGATGTTTTCCAGGACTCTTGGCATGAACATAATGCTGTTATATGCCATTCTCACGTATGTGCAAGAAGGCTCCCTCCACATCTTTCTCTGCCTCTGTGTTTGTGGGATCATATTGGGAAATGTGCTAAATTTTAACTGTAGATGGGAGAAAATATTATTCAGAGCCAGAACATTTGAGTGTATTCTGTGAAGTCCCAAAGAGGGACTTCCAGTGAAATAAAAAATGATGGCCTTGAAATTAGAATTCCTGTCTACTGTGGAAGAAGGGTGTGACCTAGTAATGGCTCAAAACCTGGGGTTCTTGCCCACAGACACATTAAATAGAGCTAGTAGAAAACTATATCAGCATAAAATGTGTTGCTCCCACTGGTGATTCACAATCTCACAGATATACAATGATAGCAAATGTTGCTTCCTTATTTTCAGAGTCCAATGGATTCACCGGATTTTGATTTCTTCAGCTTTCAGCAAATGTTATTATTAGTAGAAAAACACCCTCTCTATGTAGAAAATCACTCTCTCTATGTAGGCTGAGACGAGTGAAGGATTTTAACAGATGTCTATAGCAGTAACTTTAGTTATTTGTCAAAAACTGCACTGGATTTCCACAAGAAAAAAGTCACAAGACTTGGTATAGCATTCCTCTAGAAGAGAGGCACCAGAAACTCACATCAATACCATTGGTTATCAATTAATGTCAGAAAATCACTAAACTTGTTATACTGTGAGGAAGCAATCACCTCTTCTTTCCTCCCCCCTTCTCTCTCACTGTCTCTCATTCTCACTCTCACTCTCTCTTGCTTCAGTACTGCAGGTTATTAACTCTCAAAACTCATTCAGATCTCCAACCCAGAGTTTGTCTGGAAATATCAGCCATGTAGCAGGGTGGGGTTGAGATTGAGACAGAAAAGCGGGGCCTTGGAAAACATTGCCATGAGATTGGAAGGAAAGAGCCTAATGTGATCACAAACTAGCATAACATAATCCAGACTGTCCCCACCTATAAAACTCATCCAAGCATACCCCTAAGAGAATGGTAGTGCATGGTGCTTTTGCGTACTCTAAAGTCAATCATGATAAAGATACAAATAAAGATACTAATGCTGGTACAATTAACTGATGACTTAAAAGAGGCACCGGGGCTTCTTTGTACCCATATATGAGAGGAAACACATAGTTTTCATAGAATCCCCAGAAGAAGAAAAATACCAGCAGGAATCACTATTATGTTCTATTAAAATTGGGAAGGGGAGTATTTTGTTTCTCAAAGGACATGCATTTCAATTCCTACCTCTTAAATTAAGAATAAAAATAATAATAATGACAAAACTTACCCATTATAATACCAAATTTGGAGGATGTACTCCTTGGCACTGGGGGAGCATCACAAGTCCTTTGGATGGATTATTTACTCATTCCAAGTTAAATCATAACAAGGATTTTAATGTGGGTATCAGATTAAGAGAGCAAATAATGAAGAAACTACCGGTAATCAAACAAGAGTTGGATACTTTGTTCTCCTGGACTATGGACCTAGTTGACATCTCCAGAGAATAAGACAATAGTCCTCTTCTTCACATTAAAATCCCAAAGTGTATTTTAATTGTTGAAGCACAATGTATTTTGCAAATCAAATCCATTCAATATATTCATTAGAGTTTATTCCCAGTGAACTGCATAAGGTTGCAGTCATGCTGTTCTTGTTACTTGCTGCTTTGTGTGTTTGTGTGTGTATGTATACAGGTAGTCTTCCACTTATGACCACAGTTGAGCCCCAAATTTCTGTTGCTAAGTGAGATTTGTTAAGTACCCCATTTTACAACCTTTCTTGACGCAGTTATTAAGTGAATTACTGCAGTGGTTAAATTAGTAACATGGTTATTAAGTGAATTTGGCTTCCCCATTGACTTTGCTTCTCAGAAGGTCATAAAAAGTAATCACATGACTCCAGGATACTGCAAACATCATAAATATGAGTCAGTTACCAAGCATATGAATTTTGATCATGTGACCACGAGGATCCTGCAATGGTCATAAGCTGAAAAATGGTCATAAGTCATATTTTCCAGTATTGTTGTAACTTTGAATGGTCACTAAATAAGCCGCTTTGAGTCAAGGATTACCTGTACATACATAATGTTACCATGAGTTCCTGAACTCCATAATGTGCAATAAATTTACATTGGTTTTTTCCCCCAGTTCTTTTCTAAAAGCCCCTTTCAGGTATATGTCAGAACCTAATCTCACTGGTTTTTCTTTACAATCATTACACCCAGTGGTGGGATTCAAATTTTTTTACTACTGGTTCTGTGGGCATGACTTGATGAGTGTGACACGGCTTGGTGGGCATGGCAGGGGAAGGATACTGTAAAATATCAATTCCCTCCCCACTCCAGGGGAAGGTTACTGCAAAATCAGGGGTGAAATGCTCCCGGTTTGGACCAGCTCGGGCGAGTAGGTAGCGATGGCGGCGGGCAGTTCAGAGAACTAGTAGCAAAAATCCCTGCCCCCACCCCCCATGCCCAGCTGAGCCGCGCGATCATCAGAGCCTTTTTTTTTCTTTTAAATGGCTCTGACAAGCCAAGCTCTGATGATCCCAGCTGAGTTGCCTGCTAATCAGGCAACTCAGCTTGGATTGTCAGTCCCATTTAAAAGAAAAAAAGTTTTTGCTTTTAAATGGCTCTGACGATCCCAGCGGAGTTGCCTGCTAACCGATAGCAAAAATCCCCCCCCCCCCAGCCTCCAGCTTGCTTACCTTAGCTGCTGGTCGCAACGCCTGCCTTGCTTCACTTGCTGTAATACCTGCAATCCATTGCATCAGCAAGCAACTGAATCTCCCTACCTGCAATCAAGCTCATCGGTGAGCAGCTCTATCTGCCTGCCCGCCTTCCTGCCTGCCTTGTACCTTCTATTGCAGGGGTCTCCAACCTTGGCAACTTTAAGACTTGTGGACTTCAACTCCCAGCAAAGCTGGCTGAGGAATTCTGGGAATTGAAGTCCACAAGTCTTAAAGTTGCCAAGGTTGGAGACCCTTGTTCTATTGGGTAAGTTTTTCCCCCTTTGGGAGCTTTAAAAAAATAGTTAATTGGGGTTTTTTTTAGTTGTTCTTTTTTTAGACCTAGCCATTTAAAGTTTAGGAAGTTTTAAATTTAGCTGCTTTTATATAAAAATAAAAATAAATAAAAATAAAATGATATTTGTGCATATTTGTGCAGCTTTCTGAGATTTAGTGTGTTTATGTAGTGTTTCACTCTAACTACACAAACACACAAAATCTCACAAAGCTGTATGTGGAATTTTGTGTGTGTAAAGTGTGGAAGTTGTTTTTTGGGCTTCTTGTGGCTGTGTGAGGTTCCTGCTTGTTGCAGGGGCCATTTTGGGTCTAGCACAGCTGCTTTTACATTGTGGGTGAGCCAATTGTGTTGTGTTGTGTTTTTTAGGTTAAAAAAGGGCAAAGAAGTGACATTGACTTGGCCACGCCTACCCAGTCACCTTACCACCAAGCCCAGCCCACTAATTAAGCCACGCTCACAGAACCGGTAGCAAAAAATTTTAGATTTCACCTCTGCTGCAAAATCCATTTCCTCCCAATCAGATGGGTCTCGGGAGGCAGAGAATAGACGGGGAGGGGCCAGTCAGAGGTGGTATTTACTGGTTCTCCAAACTACTCAAAATTTCTGCTATTGGTTCTCCAGAACTGGTCAGAACCTGCTGACTACCACCTCTGATTACACCTAAAGAAACACTGACTAGCTGGCTGAAATCAGAAAAATCTGGGATCCCACAGGACTTCCACAGGTTCCAAGAGAATCTGTCACCTTCTGAAATACATCAGAAGAGATGTATTTTACAGTAATATTCCCCTCACTGAAATATATTGTTTACAACTGGTATTCACAAGGCATCAATTTCAGATCTGTCAGAAAAACAGCCCAGCGAGCACATCCCACCTTTGGATTGCTCCACATTTTCCATTTGCTTACAACATTTATTTACTTAAAATGCTCTTCTCCCAACTTCCCACATGATTTTAGAGGTGTCCAATAAATATAAAAATGACAGAGCTGTCATAAATTGGCTGTTTTTGCAACTATTATGATTCTTGAAGTTCTGGAGATTCACTGCTTATCAAATAAGTGCTAGGTAACCCACAATTGGCTTGTAGCCCATGAGCTTTTCTTATTATGGGAGGGGGGTGGCAGGGGGAGAAGAAATTGCAAGCAAAGTAGTAGGGTTAGCCTTATAGTACTTGAAATTTTTCTGAATTCTCAAGAAGCAAAAAGTGAAGAAAATTATATGAACCCACATTTTAATAATATTTCCACATCAGTTCCATCTCTCCTATGGAGAAGAGGGAAAAGTGTAACCCATGAATGTATAAAGATTGTAGATCTTATTGTAAGCAACACTGAATTCATTAGGTTTATATAACATGGAAAGCAATAAATTGTAGTTTACAAACAACAGATCCAATTAAGTCAGATCAAACCAGGTTCCTGAGTATGAAGCAGTTTCTGACATTCTTCAAAAATTAAGTGGAAGTGAGCTCAGTAAATTTCTTTGCAGGTAAGAAATGCTTTGTATGGAATGGCAAATACCAGTAATTGTTTGTAAGATTTCCCTAGGTATTTATTTAGAATACCTCTGTCTTGCTTTGAAAACAATGCCATGCCTGATGGCTTTCATAGGCATTCTCAAGAGGGAGGCAAGTGAGGAAATATCATGATGCAAATTCCATTTAGTTTCTGACATCTTTGCAATCTTTATTTTTCTTATTTTTGTTTCTTATTGCATTTTTAAAAAATGTTCTTATGAATCTCCCAGAATCATTGGGAGTCAGCAGCATACACATTTGATAGAGAAACAC